GCACAAATAATTTCAAGACTCATTAGCAAGTTGAATAAGTTTCTAGATATAAAAACAGTACAAAGAAATCAACTATACTCACATATAATTAGCAGGTAGTTAGGAAATAATATAGACCAAGTAATTTGGCTTAACATTTTCTCTTGTGATTATTTCAAAAGGCTGGAGAAAATATGTATATTTTTGAAAATATACAAAAACACCAGAGATTTAGTGAACAGTCAACAAGCTAACATTTAAAAGACAAGAAATTTTTTTAAAAAAAGGAACCTATGGGGAGGGGTTGGGGGAACCCCAGAGCCTATGAAATGGTGTCATAAAATGAAATGTAACAACAGCAACAAAAAACAAGCCTTTCAATTGGGACTACAGTATCCTGGAAGAAGCTACACATTGCAAGAAACCACTGAGAAGCTGAGCAGAACTTACGGTTAGAGATTGAAAAGCTGAATCTAGGGCCAATCAAGAGGTATGGGCCCTGGTAACACTAACAGATACTTTATAATTTTGAAGGGAGAGCAGGTGTGGACAGCTAAGAGTACTAGTACAGTAAATAGTGATTCACATAGATGGCAGAGAAAAAAAAAACACCTTGGTCTTTGAACTTGCATCAATATTGTCCTTAATTTGGGCGTGTACTTGATGGAGCAGTTAGGATGCCTGTGTCATGCACGACGGCCTGCGTTGGATGCCCCAGCTTTGCTCCTCACTCCAGCTTCTTGCTAATGGAGCTGCTGAGTAGCAGTCATGGTTCAGTTGCCTGGGCTCCTGGATTGAGTGGGCTCCCAGCTTTAGTTTGAGGATATTGCAGGCAGTCAGGGAGTAAATGAGCAAAGAGGCGCTCTCTCTCCAGTGTATGTGTTCCTCAAAACCCAGATAATCAACCAACTTATTAACACACTATGATACTAAATCATTGGAGGCCAGGTAGAGATCTTGTAGAAGAAATAAAAAAACTGAATGAAAATAACATATTCAACATTATATTTTTTCTACAGTTTCCTAGACACAAAACAGACATTAAGAGTGGAAACTAGAAAAAAACAAAGAAAAAGAAAATAAAAAAACATGCACAGGAGGGTTTTAGATTTGGGGGTTAATAGACATGGGTTATAAAATAATTATCCCTTTTATTTTCAAGGAAAGTTGAAAGTTTTTCAAGTTGAAAAACTAGCAAGACATTTGAAAACTGTAGAGTATCAAGTTTGTATGTTTGCAATTAGAAACCTGAGAATTAAAAATCAGGTAAAGATAAGTAAGATACAGAACTTAAAGAGGATTTTTTTTTTTTTTGTCAAATATGAAGAAGGAGCATGGGGAGTGGGTGGCAAAGCAGCCTAATTTTCTGCCTAATTCTCTACCTATATGGACTCCAGTTCTGATCCAGCTTCCTGCTAATGGACTGGAACAGCAGCAGAGGATGGCTCAAGGCCTTACCTCCCCTTTCCCCTGTGGGACACATGCAAGAAGCAGCATTTGGGGAGTGAACCAGCATATGGAAGACCTCTTTCTCCTCCCATTCTGTAATAAATACATCCTTTTTTAAAGGAATAAAAATTCAGAGACAGACACATGAATAAACTCCAGTGCATTTTGGATGCACTACTAAAAGGGAAAAAAGACTTCTCAATAAATGAGAAGTGAGGTACCCCTCACATACACAAAATTTATTCTTCATTAATTCAACTTTAATGTGTAGGGTAAAACTAAAGCTTTCAGAACATAACACAGTTGAGTATCTTCATGATGACAAAGTAGGGAATGATTTAAGCACTTTGAACACTTTTAAACATCTAACAATTAACAAACTCTTATAAAATCAAAGAGTGAAAAGTTGTAAGATATTTTTAACTACATAGACAACAAAACACAAGATTTGTAAGGATATTTTTTCAATCAACAAGGAAGCAAACAACGAACGCAACCAAAATATGGGTAACAAATTTGACAAAACATTCTATAAAGAAAGCTGACGTCACCAACAAGGTATTCAACCTTGCTGGAAATTAAGGAAATGCAGAGTGAAATAATTTTTATAATTTTAAAATTTTTGATATTTACATAGTTGATCAGGGTGGAAAGTATTGAGGGTTAGGGGAAAGTGGGTGTGACCACTGCCTCCAATCTGTTTCCTCCTCCTGTTTCTGGGGAAAGTGGGTAGAAAAGGGGGAGAAGCAGCACCCACCCAGGAATTCTCAGTACCTGGAGATGGGGAATGGCCACCCGCTATGATCCCAGAGTCCCCAATGTGCAGCTTGATTTGAGGGTTCTGCTTAAGTAATTTCATTAGTTATAAAATGCTCTTGATCTCTCTGATCCAAGGATGAGGAAATATTTCCAAGGCCCATTGGCTGACAGTACACCTTAGAGTCTCCATTCATCCAGATATTTGCTGTCAATGCTTGGCTGGAGTAGTTGATCAATTCGTTTTGTCGCCCTTCCTCTGCTATTGTACCAGATGCCCTCTGCAGGCGCTAATGGGCTGCCACATCTTTTTCCATGTGCATTTGGGCATGTTATCCACTGCTCTGTCTTCTCCACAAGGGGGCCCATCTCTGACACGTGCACTCTACAGTCAGTCCACCAATTCTACAATTCCCCACGGTTTGATTTCTGAGTCTAGCAATTCAGTTGGGATCCCCATAGAGACCTCACCTGAGGTGATCCCAAACCTGACTCCTGTGTGTGCTTGTCAGTACAATGTCTGGTTCAATCCCTCACCCACATCAGCCTATGCACACATTGGTAATTGCAACTGTTGGGTCAGTTCTGTCTCCAGCCCCATTTCTTACGCAAATCAATGGATGCCACAGACCAAACTAACCCAGCCCACTACACACTTGGCCTTCACATACACCAGCGGGAATTGCAGCCTAGTCAGAGCAACCTCCAATATGCTGCACCCAGACCCAGTTCTCCTGCTCACCAGAAGATAGTGGCCCAGCAGAGGAGCCCACACCCTCCCACCAGGCTTGCACCCCTCCCCATGGATCTCACGTGTGCTGGTGGGTGTTGCAGTCTAGTCTGGCAAGGCCCACCTCACCTCAGAATTTACTGGTGGTTTCTGTAACCTGGTTGGCCTGTCTATGCCCAATTCCAGCTCACGCTGGTGGGTGCATGCAGAGTGAAATTTCAATAAGATATACCAGATTTGGAAAAATTTTAAAAATCTATGAATACCAAAAAACAGAGAAACAGACCATCTGTAATTCTTAGGAAAATTTTTCTAATTATCTAACTAAATTCAATATATAAATAGCTTATGACAAATCAATTTAAATCCTATATTATTTGCCCTAAAGGACAAATAAAATCATTTTCATTATGAGATTGCAATTATTCTAGATTAAAATAATCTCAAATTGTGCATAGTCAATACAAAGAATAAAAAAAAACTGGGATATATTAAACTGAGGTCAATCATACATCAAGGATGATGAATGAAGTACAGCTATAAGCAACACAGATGGACCACACATTGCAGCAAGAAGGAGCCACAAAACAATGTGGCATAATTCATTTACATAGAGTTAAAAGTAGGAAAAATGTAAACTGTATGTTTAGGTATGCATATATAGTTGGCAGCGAGATAAAAACAAGGAGCTAGCTATCACAAAAGGTAGGTCAGTGGTTATTACTCAACAGTGTGTGGTGGGAGGTTGGCAATGGGAAGGGACTGCGGCAGGATTTTCTAGCCTGCTGTCAATAATCGTGTTACTGTGAGTGCTGGTTACTTAAGAAGCTACTTAAAAAAAATAAACCTTCAATCAGATGTTTTAAATTTTATGTACTTTTGAAAGTATACATTCCTCAAAATTAAAAAGATAGAAAGAAAATGACCAGAAGTTATTTATACACAATTTGATTCCCAAGATCTCAACTTCCTAATTATGGTTTTTAAATTTTTGGAAAATCAAATAGTTATACTTAGTTTATACAAAGTGAATAGATGTTTGAGTCACAATGAATTCATGGTTATAATTACCATGGTTGAAAGAGTTGGGGCAAGAAGACATTTTTTTCCCTTAAAATATCAAGCTAATGTTTGCCTTTCTGTTTTCACTTTACCAATTATAAAATAGGACTCCAAACACAAAACTTGTGGAAAAAGGAATTAAAAAGATGTTTATTTTTGTGCATTAAATTTTGGAAGCCATAGTTTTTCATACTATACAATTACCATGATCTTTCTGAAGCCCCTGCATATGCATGGGATTGCAAAGTTTCTTCCTGTATGAATATAAACTTTTAATTCTGGTTTCTATAAACTTCTTGAAGTATTTTTATGTAATCATTTTTGCCCTGTTACAGCCCAGAGTGTGCTATAATAGGTAAAAATAAAAATATTCACCTACTTGCCTCCAGGTTGTACCACTGAGACAATTCATGAGGAATTCATTGAACATACTTTTCTGCTTTAAACTGTAAAAGGGAACAGACTGTGAAATCACCTACTAGTAGTCTGGTACAAGACTTCTGAGTACTTCTGACCTGTTTTAACAGTTTCCAGGAGCCAAAAGCACTTATAGTAATGTCCCTCTATACCCAGTGAAGGGTATCCCTGACTGCAAAAAGAGGAAAACTAGAAAACACCATAATATAACTACTCACAAAATGAAGAACAGAATCAGAATTTCTCATTTTAACTATGGAACATGACTTAAAACAACAGCCTCAAAAAGCCTAATTTATTTCTAGTAAATAAAAAACTTTGGATAAAAAAATCAATTTTTTTTTTTGTATTGGTATTTTAGTGACCGCGTGGAATAGAAATAAAGAACTACATTCATTAACTTCACCGTGGATTTTCAGCTTCATAAAACTAAATGGATGAGGGAATGACAAAATGGTTGTAGAATTAATCACAAACTTTCTGATGTTGTTATATTTGCTAATACACAGCTGTCTATAGATAAGAGCATGGTCTAAATTCAAAAACATGTGGAGTCTTACACAAAATTAAGCTATTAGAACAGACTTGAGGACTGTTGAATGGCTATCTTGAAAATGTCAGTTTATTGTAAAACAGCACAAAACAAAGGGAAATGGAAAAATCCTACCCTTTAAAGTTCTAAGGTAAATAGCCTTGATATTCCTGGCTTCAATTTAATGTAACTTAAATTACCAACTTGAGATATGCACAATAGTAGAGGGTAGAATATTGTGAACCCAAACTAATGGCTGATTTCCCACACACATGCTAAACATAGAACACCTTTTAATTATATAAATTCACCCTTCCCTCCCAAGTGTATTTTCCCTACTGGATGATAAATCAAAAACAATTTGTTTAAACTATTTTTAGATGGAAAGCATACAGTATAAAAAGACACCAAACTGGACTAACAGTGATATGAATATTTTTTAATCAAATAATCTAAATACAGTGTGAACAATGTAGGAGAAAGAGGGAAATGACTCCCTGAGGGTATAAAATGTAAACTACTTTAGAATGCACGACAGACTTATTAACAAAAGAATCACACTTGTCTTCACTGAGCTTATACTGTTATATATTCTTTAGATAAATTTTTAACAAATGCACTTTCATGAACATGTGCAATAACTTATATCAGAAGACTCTCAGTGAAGACCTACAAAATAAATTGTAATCTTTGTAAACTCCCTTTCTGGGAATGGGGAATAAAATAACATGCTCTCCTTAGAATGAAATTATTAAATCAGCCTTTTCTGTCCATTAGGCTGCTGGAAAAAAAAATTACTCTACCAGATTTTGCAATGAGTTTTTAGTTTCAATTTTTCATCTGTTTCTAAGGATATTCCATTTATAAAACTTCTTAGAATCTTACCAGGTATGACACTCAGGCTTAGGTTTAAGGTTCCAAATAAATAAAGCTGCCACATTAGAAGGCATGTAGAACCACACGATTAGCCATGGTCATCTACTCACAGTAATGGATTCTTTAGGAGGGCTGTTCAGTCTGTATAATACTGTTAATGTTTAGTCCAAATTAATGTGTGTCATTTGACCAATTGCAAGCTCATTACTCTGCTGCTTGCAACAAAAAATTTTTGATTTCTTGGAGATAGTGACACTACCAACTCCCATTAAATTAGCAGAGGTAACAGGACAGAAAACCGTAAATACAATTTTAAATGTCAACTCTCACTGACCACTTCTCTTCTGACCACTATTAAGCACTCGAAGCTTAACTGGATGAGAGGCACAGGGTACCACACTATTAGGTTAGAAAAATGGGTATGAAACATGAACAAAAAAGAAATTCATACAGTGAGACTTTTTGGATGGTTGCATACATTACTTTCAACTTCTTGATCCTTATCACTTCTGGTCATAAATAAATATTTTTTCCTTCTTTTCATCTGTAGAAGTTATAATACAAAGTTGCTTGTAATCATTAAAAAAGTGGTATTCCAGTTCAGAGTTGCTTGTGATCACAGTCATTTGTGAGGCATCAGTAAAGTGTCCATTAATGCTCCAAAATGTTTAACCAGTTCTTTATAACAGCTTCCTATTGATGTTCCCCTTGAATTAAGGCTTCATGAAAAAGAAATCCATAGCATCAGAGCTAACTGTTTTGTTGTGAGTTTCTGAATTAAACACATTGTCTCCAAAATCAAGTAGTCCAGGAATAACTTTAAGACAATTATTAATCAGTGTCATGACCGAAGTAGTATCTTACTGGAGGTCCTGGCAAATCTTCATCTCCATCAGTGTCTGGGGCAAATGACACTGTAAGATCCACATATTTCTTCTCAGTAGATGGTTTCACAAGTTTATGCATTCTAGAGAAAATAGCATTGATGATTATTTTGGCAAATTCTGTAAAATGAAGATTTGCTATGAAATGACTTTAACATGATTTTTTTTTAAAGATTTGCTTTTATTAGAAAAGCAGAAATACAGAGAAGGGAATACACAGAGAAAGATCTTCTGTCCACTGAATCACTCCCCAAGTGGCTACAACAGCCAGACCCAAGTTGATCTGAAGTCAGAAGTCGGGAACTACTTCCAGGTCTCCCATGTGAAAGGCTTTGGGCTGTCATTGACTGCTTTCCCAGGCTACAGGTAGGAAGCTGGATGGGAAGTGGAGCAGCCAGGACATGATCTGATGCCCAAATGGGATCGTGGCACAGGAAAGGTAAGGATTTAGGTACTAGGCTATTGTGCTAGGCCTTTAGATAATCTTTACTAATAATTGCACTGTATTATCATGCTTTCACACACTCATTTTTCTTTCTAAAAGGTCTGAATTCAAGCTATTCATTTACCTCGCAGTGAATCAGTCTGAACTGACAGTAGTGATAAAGGATTAAAGATTACCATTCTGCCAAAATATTTCTCAAAATATGAAATGATTAAAAAATCATTCTTTTATAATCCCTGAAATGTTCAGAGGCATCATAAATTCTAAGCAGTTATCAGTAAAGCAAGGTAGATGAGCAAATCTTAAAAAAATATAAGCTTTAAAGGGACCTGCATGATGGTTCAACTGCAAGTGCCTGTACCTCCGTTGGCCACTGGTTTGTCTCCCAGCTGTCCCACTTCCCCTCTAGCTTCCTGATCACAGCCAGGGCAAGCAGTGGAGGACAGCCTAAAGCCTGGGGACCCTGACCCACGTGGGCAGTTTGGAAGAGGCTCTGGGCTCCCTGCTTTGGACTGACTCAGCTTTGGCCATTGTGGCCACATGGAAAGTAAACCAGTAGATGGAAGATCTTTTTCTCTGTTTCTCTTTCTTTGTAGATCTGCCTTTCCAAAAAAAAAAAAAAAAAAAAAACCAAAAAACAAAAAAACCAAAAACAAACAAACAAGCAAAATATATATATAGCTATATGTGTGTGTGTGTGGCTAGACACATTGTGACACATTCTACAAATCTTTACATATTACAAAGATATTTTATTCCGTATGCATTTGTTCATTCTTTATTATTCAATCTTTACATTATCTGTAAGCGATTTCTAATTTTGACTTCCCAAATAGACCACATATGCTCTTCAACTGCTTGTTAGAACTTCCTTTTGCCTTCAATAATCTATCTTCAAAGGTAGTTCAAGTGAAAATCTATTCTGAACTACACATTTGAGTTAGTATACCAAAAGTGTTCTACAAAACTTCTTATTTTGACATTATTTATCTAATATTGTAATGATTAACATGTAAACTTTCCTTCACAGAGCATGACACTGTTGAGAGCAGTACCACTGGAAAATGAAATACTTGGTACCATCACACTGCTAGTTTGTAGTATCATTTTTGTGCTCAACAATCATGGGAACAATTACACCACTTGTGGACAGGAAATAAATTTCACAAAGTACTCTAGACGACAAAAGAAGAACATGGGAATGGAACGGAAGTCAGTCCTTCCTACTAATAAGTCCAGGCAATTCACTGCAACCTCACTAACAGAAATGCTTAGTTACTGAATGCAGTCAGTGAGAATGCACTCAATTTACTAAAATGAGAAGTATCATTCACAAACATATCATTCTGGAGGTTTTCAATACTGGTTACCCTCTCCAAAGAGTTTTTGATAATTATCTGCACTAAATTTAAACTCTACTTATCCATATACTTTTCAACTGCACATTCTTTTTATCTAGGTAGCATACAATAAAGAGTCTAAAAACTATTAAATTTATCCAAAACACACTTAAGGATACTAATAAAACAACTTACGGAAGCCATTAAGGAGTGAGAAGTAGAAAAGGATTTGAGAGGAGTAATTGGAACCATATCATTATCACTAATGTCTTGAAGACCAATGTAACTATTATTTTTTTGGTTCTCTTTCTTCAAATATCACCTTACCTGGTTGGACTGTGAAAGGCAGAGGGAACACCAAGACTACCAACACAAGGTAACAACTCTCACATTTTCATTTCCATTTGTTCATTTCTCTGCAGTATTTAATCACTATCTGCTGTACGAGCACGTAGTTACATAAAATCTTAAAGGATGAAAGGTCAGCCCCAGCACGGTGGCTAAAGTCCTTGCCTTGAACGTGCCAGGATCCCATATGGGCGCTGGTTCTAATTCTGGCAGCTCCACTTCCCATCCAGCTCCCTGATTGTGGCCTAGGAAAGCAGTCGAGGATGGTCCAAAGGGACCCTGCATTGGCATGGGAGACCTGGAGGAAGTTCCTGGCTCCTGGTTTTGGATTGGCACAGCACTGGCCGTTGTGGCCACTTGGGGAGTGAATCAGTGGATGGAAGATCTTTCTCTCTGTCTCTCCTCCTCTCTGTATATCTGACTTTCCACTAAAAATAAATAATTCTTAAAAAAGAAAAAGGAGGAAAGTTCTTTATCTTGCTTATTGTTGCATCCCTAATGCTAAGAGCAGTATTTGACACAGTAGCTGATGAGCTGGTTCTGGGCTGTAATAAAATTCACGCATATTGAAATTCTGTGACTCTTTCAAGATGGCCTGACATAATCACTGCCTTTATTCATAACTACACAAGAATAATTCTTTTATCTGAATTTAATAACTTCTATAATTAATTTTCCAATGTGTGTCCAGATTAAATTTCAATTTTGGGAATATTGTGCACATAACTAATAATACTTACGTTAATTTCAATCTTTTTGCGTGACCGGGCATAACAGGAACATAAAGCATTTTGACTCCCTGAACCACCATAGTTGGTTCAATGCCATACTTCTCCTTAAATATTCAAAAGGGAAACAATCAAATCCTCACAGAATCAGAAACATGTTTTATGACCAGCAAAGAGAGCCTACATTTACTAAATATTATAATCCTCACGGTATGGATTTAAAAAACTGCAACAGTCCTCTCCAACCCAGAGTTTGAATTCTGAAGATCAAAGTATACCAAATGGAAAATTTCAGAAGTAAATAATCTATGTTTTAGATTGTGTGCTGTTTTGAATAGTGTAGTGGATTTCATGCCGTCCCATTCCCTCTCACAAATTATCCCTGTGTTCAGCACATCTGCATTGTATTTTCTGCTCTAGTAGCAGCATCTGAGTTATTAGATTGACTGCTGTGATAGCACAACGCTTTTGTTCAAGAAACCCCCAATTTATTAACAGTGGCACCAAATCTCAAGAGTTATGATTTAAAGAAAAAAAAAGCCATAAAGTTAATTTAAGTGAAAAGGTGAAAGGTTTAAGGTAAGAAAAAACACATGTCTAAAATCTATAGCACAGTAAGGAGAGAATATATTCACTTAACTTTTGTAACTGTTATGCTTTATTATTAGTTTTTTGCTGTGCTTTTCACCATGCTCAATTTATAGATTAAGCTTCATAGGAATGTATGAATAGAAAAATAACAGCGCGTAGATGATTTGGTGGTGGTAATTTCAAACATTTACTGTGGTTCTTGTGACATAAACCCACAGACAAAGCGGCACTAATGTAAACAGAAACCAGATTCAAACCCTCTAACAACACAAGACAATAAATATATCTCACTTTGACTGCGTTTATGAAATCCAATAGAGTAAAATCTTCTTTTCCATGCACAGTCCATCTGTCCCAAATTGTAAATGATATCCCATTTCTATAATAGAAAAATATTCACAGCACATTTGTTATTTCCATTAGCAATATTTTAAACACTCATATTCTGAGATTAAATACTGTTATTTAATCTAAAATTAATGTGGGCAGAAGGGGACAATACAACTTCTAAAATATTTCATAATTTAATTCCTCAACACATAGACAACAATTTTTATTAGTACTTTATTACCCGTTCAGTGTTTCAATAGTGACACAGCGTGTTCTCTCTTTAAATGGCTGGGTTTTACTGTATGGTTCCCCTAGTCCCCCATTACTAATATGTACAGATTTTATAATGCCCAAATGAACATCTCACACACACACAGTATGTGAAAATTTGTAATGTAATGGTACGTTTGTCTTAAAGACAATTCTGTTTCATACTCTCATTAGTTTCATATGCAGATGCTTGCTTTCCCATATCCCTGTTAAGACTCTCTTCCTAACAGCTCCAAAAGTTTATGATCGTTTCAAATCTATAAAGTGGGAAGTACAGGTACACAAAATTGCTTTCTTTGCTTTTTCACAAGCTTCCAGATTTTGATTCTGAATATTGTGATTCATCTAGAGTTATCTTCTAATTTTTCTTGGTTAGTTGAACAGAGATAAACCATAAAATCAGTGTGGTGAAGTGTTGTGAACATTCTGTGGGTAGCTTAACTCAGGAATGCTTCATTAAGCAAAGGCTAGATTTAGCTTTAAAGTGATAGCAAGGATTTACCTTTACAGAAAAAAGGAGAGGTACGCCAGTGTTTTTCTCTCTTAAAATGGAAACTATCTTTTATCTCATTCTCATTATACAGGAGAAACAGACCTTCAAACATACCTGATTTCAGTTTTCCTCACTTCAGATGTCTCTGTAAACACTAGAATTGGAATGGCTAGATTTAGAAAACAATTTTTGTAAGCATCAAATGGATAGCCACCAGCCACTTTGATCATCTCCAAGGTAACCTAGATAAAGGAAATAACTTGAGTATATAAATAGTATAAAAATATTAACTGGGTCTATTATGTTTTTTCAAATTCTTAATCACTTCCTATACGACTGATTATTCATTCCAATTAATGGTCCTTATAATTTCAAACACAAAATGATAAGTGATAAACAAAGTTATCTAAAAGCATTAATTTGACCATGTTATATCCTAGCACACACCAGAACTCAAAAAAAAAGGCAGTTTCTAAGTGCAGCCAAGTACATATCTGAAGAGTAACTTTGGAGTAAGGCATAATAGGATGTAATAACTGTGGCTATACTAAAGCTTTTTAGTCATTAAAATGAGGTTCTCTTAAAAGAATGAAGGTTATATTTCAACAAAAACAGAATTCTCATGCTCTAGTTACTTCTCCGATACCTGCAATGGTCAGATAGGCTAGGCTCAAGATGGAAGCCAGCAACTCTATCAGGTCTCCCAGTGGGTGTGACAGGAACCCAGTTACATGAGCCGTGACGTATGATTTACAGGATCTGCATCAGCAGGAAGCTAGAGCTAGCACTAGAGCTGGGTACCCAACTCAGGTCTCTGATGAGATGGCCAATGCCTAACACTGAGTTTATTTTTTAAAGGTTTATTGTATTTTTACCTGAAAGAAAGTTACAGAGAGGGAGAGAGAATTCTTCCACCTGCTGGTTCATTCCCCAAATGGCTGCAACGTTCAGAGTTGAGCTGACTGAAACCAGGAGCTTCTTCTTAGTCTCCCACTTGGGTACAGGGTCCCAAGAACTTGCCAAGAACTTGAGCCATCCTTTGCTGCTTTCCCAGGCCATAAGCTGGGAGCTGAACTAAAAGTGCAGCAGCCAGGATACAAATTGGTGCCTATATGGGCTGCTGGTAGTACAAGTGGAGGCTTAATTTACTATACCTTGGCACTGGCTGTGGTACTTATTATTTGCCAAAATGTTTACGTACTTGGAAATCTCAAAACATCTATTACTATGTTTTTAGCTTTATTTTGAAAATTTAAATTATAACATCCAATATTTATCCCTCCAACTCTAAGAGCTTTAAGTAATTACTTAGAGTTGGTACCACTGGAGATGGGAAAATGGACAATGAAAAAGGCATACTTGTATTTCAACTATCATAAACTTACCAAGCCAGAAACTGCTGCAGTAGAAGTTGCTATGGCAGGTATAATTTTCCCAGCTATGCGCTTAGTTTTGAAACGGTCAGCTGGTTCAATGTTATACATTTTGGCACGGAGATTGGAGGCAGCTGTGATGAAATCTACGTGTCCATTACTATCATCATCCTTTTCAAATGAAAGCACTGTCATCTGAAGGTCACCTGATGACAACGAGAACAAAGTTCCCTAGTATGCAGCAAAGGTTTTGCTAGCTGAAAGGCTATGTCAATTCACTTTTTTTTTTTTAAATGTTTATATTTCATGACATAGTTCCATAGGCTCAGGGATTTCCCCTCTTAGCCTTCCTCACTGTTTTCCCCCATATTATGGTGAGTTCACTACTTAAGATTTTGTGTTATGGCTTAAACTTTTTTCAATCATTTTAATTATTCCCATTCCACCAGAGTTATATATATATTTTTGGACAAACATGCAGTAAGTGCATATATTCATCAGGTACAATGCTATTTCAATCATTTCTACAGCACCTGATCAGCGTTTACTGATCAGATCATGGTGACTGGCATTTCCATTTCCAATCATTTATGTTTGAAGCCTTTGATCTCACTCATCTAGTTCTTCATATCTAGCAGGTCATTATAAACTACAGTCATATCAGTATGCTATGGAATATGAGAACACATTTTTCCACTATTATACATTTAGACTGACATTTCTTAAAAAAAAAAAAAATTCAAAAATTATTGGTACACTCCACTGGTACACTCCCCAGTGCAACAGTCAGGCCCCCTCCAGGAGGATGGAACTAATCTGATCTCTCCTAAAGGCAGCAGGGATCCAAGCACCTGAGCTAACATTTGCTGCTTCTCTGGGAATCCAATAGAAGCTGGAATTGGAAACAGCTGGAACTCAACCCTAAGTACTTTGCTACGAGTTGTGTGTGTTCCAAGCAGCACATTCACCCCATGCTTCCTTTTCATGTTTTTAAATGACTAAAATATATATATATATATGTGTAAAATCTGGGCGGGCAGTTGAAGATATGGAAGGATATCAAAACGACAGCATCACTGCTACTAAAAATTAGAGTAACTTTCATTTGAAAGGAACTCTTCAGGAGTTAGTATTATGGTATAATGAGAAGCTGCTACATGCAATGCCAGAACCCGACAGGCACCAGTTTAAGCCCTGGCTGCTTCACTTCCTACCCAGCTCTCTGCTAATGAGCCTGGGAAAACCAGCAGCTAATGTCCCAAGCGTCTGGGTCTCTGTGTACCCATTTGGGGATGCAGAGGAAGCTCCTGTGGCCACTGGGCAGTGAGAGTGGACGGATGATCTCTGTCTCTCTTTGTGCATTTTAAATGATTCTTACACACACACACACAACATTTCAAATAGCAAAGCTGGAAGCTTACATATTGTATATCTGCATTATGTGAAATTCAGCACTATTCAAAATTGTATTCCAGAAAGCCTACTCTGAACCATTTTCTCTGACAACTAATAGGCTGATCAAATATGTAGCTTTCCAAAAAGATTTCTGCACCAGTGGTTCCAAAAATTATTCTAGATGTTTTATAGATTCCTGACTAAATTTATAAATCATTGACTTGAATAACAAAAAGATAGTATAAAATGGTAAGTGAATTTTTAAAGAACTAAAAGTGCAGTTATTCCATAAAGATGATTAATCAAGGATGTATAGAAGTCAGTTTGCTTTTGATGGAGAAGACAACCTCAGCTTTTTTTTTAATTTAAAAGAGTTTACTTATTTCCATTTTATCTATGAGGCAGAAACTGCGATCTCACAACTGGTTCACTCTAAATTCAGAACAACCAAGATCTGTGTGAGCTGAAAGTAGCAGCCAAGAGCTCCTTGTGGTTCTCCCATTTGAGTGACAGAATCCAACTACCTCAGCTGTCACATCTGTGGCCTCCCAAGGGTATGCATGTCACACAGCCTAAGGGAAAGTGGGGGTAGAACCTCAATTTGATACAGATAATTGTGTCTCCAGCAGCAGCTTAACCTACCCTGCCAACTCTAGGCTCTGTAGTTCTTAAACTTAACCTGATTTAACAGGTTCTGTCTAAAATTAGTCTCCATAAGGTTCCCAGCACACTGCATATTTATGTTCTTAAAAGCAGCTACCGTCACACTTTTCGAGATGTGCTCATTATCTGAAGGAATAGAACAATCAAAACAGCAACCAAGTAGTTAATGTTATTTGTAGAATTGCATTTCAACTTTTGCAGCTAAGGCAATGGTAGAAAAATCAAGTAAATGACCAACATAATTGCTATTTAATTCCACCTGCTTTTTGGTGTAGAGCTCAGTGAAAATGGTCATTTATTCAGTTCAAACCTTTTTTATAAATACTTTTCTTACTTTTGGTAGCTTCATTGGATGAAATAGCCTTTTGCAGTTGAAAAACAGCATTTCTCTCATCTTCACTGCTAACAGGAACATTTTCTGGTTTCCTTGCTGATTCATCTGTCTGAACAACCTTCAAATAAACATATTTATTTATGTTACCACATTCTGCATCAAAATCTGGTTATCATTTGCTTTAATCAAACAGATTAAAACGGAAAAAACATTTTCTCCACATATTTTAATCAGACTGTTAATAATCATTATGATCCAGTATATTTTAGATTTTCCTTCAGTAACTGGCATATTTGTATATACATTTGTCCACCTATAAACACCTGCATGGAAACACTATGATAATCCCAACATATCTAGAACAATTTTTTAAAAAAGAAATTTAAGTTATAGAAGACTATTGAAATTACTAGGTTAACAATATACTTCCACATTGAAAATACAAAATGGAATACATAGTTTAATGCAAGTATTATCAAAGAAAACTACTTTTCAAACTGTGTTAAAAATATTGAACTGCTTATAAGATCCAAGTCACTACAGATTGCTTTCATTTTTAAGATTTATTTATTTTTATAGCAAAGGTGGATTTACAGAGAGAAGGAGAGACACAAAGACATTCTGTCTGCTGGTTTACTCCCAAAGTTGCCACAATGGCTGGAGCTGAGCCGATATGAAGCAAAGAGCCAGGAGCCTCTTGTGGGTCTCCCATGTGGGTGTGCAGGGCGCCAAGGTTTTGGGCCATCCTTGAGTGTTTTCCCAGGCCTAAACAGGGAGCTGGTTGGGTAGCAGGGTGGCTGGGACATGAACCGGTGCCCATATGGGATCCCAGATGTGCAAGGTGAGGATTGATTTAGCCACTAAGCTATCGCAAAGCGCCACAGATTACCTTTTAAAATTCTTTACTAGAATGGTTAGTATGGAAGAAAAAATTATGATTCTGATAAATCCAATTTATTTTTTAAATTTAAATTTTATTTATTTGAAAAGCAGAGAGACAAACAGAAAATCTCTCTTCCTTTGGTTCACTCAAATGCCTTACAGTGGGTCAGGCTGAAATCCTAGAAACCAGAAATGCAAACTCACTGTTCATCAGACTATTCTGAATAACAATTATTTCATATATCTTTAATCTAACTCCTTTCATTTCACCATCTCCTTTTCTCTAAGCTACTAAAATTATCTCGCTTGTGAAAAAAATCTTTTCTGATTTTCCCTTTCATTCTCAATTTCAATCCCGTGGCAATTTTCCCAGGGCTTTAGTAATATATGTACACTCCAATCTTTTAGTAACACTTCCTTGCTGCCTTCTATTTCATTCCCTCCAATCCACTGTCTTTCTTTCATTCGCTTGTGGTGAAAATTTCCTGATTGCACTCTCAGGTCCTGCACAGTCACTAACAGCCAGTTATCCTTCTGAGTTAGATGTGGCACTCGTCTGCTTAAAACCCTTTAGTAGAGTCCTATCAGAGTAAAGAGCAGAGCACTTAAAACCCCCAAAACACATTACATTTTGCTGTGCATTCCTCTCCTTGTACATTCTCCCCATGAAGCAGTTGTTTGGTCCACAGTTAAGACACAGCTTGAGACCCCCGCATCCCATAAAGCAATGCCTGGCTTGAGTCAGGCTACTGTAATTCTGATCCAATTTTTGCTAATGTACACTCTGGGGGGGGGTGCAGAAGATTTTAGTATTTGGGTCCCTTCCACTGACATGGGAAACGGGGGCTAATCTGGGATCCTGGCTTCATTCTCCCAAGTCCTTGATTTGAGAATTTGAGTAGTATACCAGAAGATGAAAGATCTCTGTATGTCTTTCAAATAAATTAGAAAAGTCATACATACCACAAAAGTCTTTTAGGCCATTCCCTGCACTAGTCCTGCTGCCCGCAGTAGTCTTTCTCTAGGGACCAGGACGGTCATTCCACACTTCTGTTTTCAGGAGAAGGGCCTTCCCCTTGCTTCTCATATCAAAGGACACCAGCTCCATCACTATTTTTTCCTTATCACTTACATGTATATCACATCGTTGTATACTGGTGTTTCATAGTCCATTTCCACAGCCACAAAGACAAGAACTTTGCATACTGTGTTATTCTCCAAGTTTAGATTGTGAATTCACACAACTGAAAGAATACCTCTTTGCTGAATGAATGAATTTAAAAACATACCTTATTGGAAGGTTTGAACTCCTGAATCTTTACTTCTGCAAGAATATTCAGGATGGTATTTGCTGATAAATCCTATTTTTTAAAAAGAAAATTTTATCAAAACATATTCTTGTAATTTTGAATTATAAACCTCAGAGAACCTTTATAAGATCTTTTATCATATCAACATTTTTGGAAAATATTAAACATTTAGAGCACATTATTTATTTGTAGAGAAATTTCACTCAATCTCCTGGAAGAATGCGGGCGCAGTAGAAAAGCACTAAGCGGCCAAACAATACAAGACTGAGTGTCATGAGATTTGGGAGTGTTGTTTCTACTTCCTCAACTTCAATGTTTTACAAATTTCTCTGCACAATTTGATACTCAATAATAAAATGCCTAAATGGAATTTATTTCTTGAAAAGTAGAAAAATACTTTGATGGCTGAAGATGTAGTTAGATAAATTTAAAGCTGCTGGAGCCACATTCATCATAAAGATGCTGCTGAGGAAACTCTAAATTGTACCACTTTTGAGGTTAATTATCACTTACTTACATTGTAACTACCCACTCTTTTCACAGAAAAGAATGCCAAATAATATGTTGTTACTGTATGTGGTCATTTTTGTTTGCATAAACTCCAAGGAGAAAAACGGACATTGTAAACCTGTATCCAAAATAGTGTTATTTATGGATCTGGTTCCTGCTTCTCCTTTGGCCTAACTGTGTCTTAAATTCTACCAACGCACATGAAGCAAAATCCACTAACCTAGATGTATCAGTTAGAGATCAGGGTAGAGTACCCTATTTCTGCCAAGAGCATTAGTCATCTGGATATTTGAACATTATTCCTGGGCCATGCAAAATCAGTAACTTAATGTCAAAACAAGGGTGCACCTTCAGATTTCTGCAAAAGCATGTAAGACTAATATCACAAACCCATTGTTAAAATGTATTAACCCTGAATGTAAATAGCTTAAACTCATCAATCAAAACTCATATATTAGCAGACTGGATTAAAAAAAACAAAATCCATCTATTTGTTGCCTATAGGAGACACACTCAATAAAGATCAGCAGAAACTGTATCTCATGGATTTTCTTTTATTTTTTTTGGCTAGTTTCATCTCTTCAAAACACTTATTAAATTCTTTAATGAGTCATAGATTATATAGAAGCATGATTTTCTTCAAGAAGGCTCTTGATTCTTTTTCATTTCTTCAGCAACACATGAATAATTCAGTAACATGCTATTTAACTTCATGGTGTTGTTAATTCCTTTTTATTTCCTCCTGTTGTTTGTTTTGTGGATTTTCATTTAAGGGGATGTGTAATACCTGTTTATTGGAGACTATCATATACAGTAGCATGTTCAGCATGTTATAAATTTCTATTTTTCTTCCTGCTGTTGATTTTGCTTTGTGGCTTTTCATTTAGAGGGATGTATAGTAACTGTGTAATGGAGACTAACATATCCAGATGTGAGGATACAATGCAGCATGCATCTCTACATCCAAAGATGGGCTCCCAATGAAACTGCTTACTCTATCTTGTCAATAAGATGCTGGACTCTCTGCCAATGTCCATGCCTGCAATGATGGACATATGACTATGTATGAAGAACTATACTACAGTAATGAAATAGGGGAACTCGGTGAGGGAGGAGGGAATTGGCGAGGGGATAAAGGAAATTTTAGGGCCTATGGAACTGTATCATAAAACCATAATAATAAAAATAAGTAAAATTTAAAATAATAATAAAGGGAAAAAAAGAAATAAAGAAACCTGGACACAAATGCTACACAAGTGTATTATGTGTATACAGGCATGTTTTGCTAATTATTAGAAAAATATAAAATTACATAAAAGAAAGTCAATGCAGAGATTCTCTAAGGAATATTTTAAAATTTCTGTGAAATGACTTATTCTTTTTAGAAATAAAGCTGATTAACAGGTTTTAAGTATTTAAAAAACAAGGTATGATTTCCAGATATTGCTGTATTATTACTTGACATACAAAGAGAAATATCTCACTCTTAGTAAAACTGCAATGAGTAACTTCTTTGAAGAGCCATACATAAGGGATATTCAAAGATATACATTTAAATGTATATGCATATTATGAAAAATGACACGGACTTCAAAAATGTTAGCATCAAAATAATCTTGTCTTATTTTGAAGTATCCTCACGTGGTAAATGGGCACCAATATAACAAAACAGAATTTATTGCAACTAGCCAATTAGTCCCCTGCCCCTGCCATCACTTCAAGCCCACCACTGACAGCGCCTGAAGCTTATCTTACCTCTTCTGTAAATGGAATGCAATATACTGTAGCATAAAGTTTTGCAGCATTCTGAAGGAAACTGAAGTGCCTTTAAAAAAAAATTAAGGAAAGTCTGAATACATAGTTTCAAAAATTCATTAGAAACTAAAGGTTTTAAAACAGTGTTTGAAAAAAATCACCAAAAATTCTTGTTACACAATGATTTTAACAGAGGATATCATTTTGGTTGAGATACAAACACTGCATAAATAATAAATGGGAAATCGTCAAATGTTTATCCTTAAAAGCACAATATTCATATTCAGGTAGTGATCCTGATAGCTTTAGGAAAAGGAACAGCTAGAAGTAGAAAAATTAAAACTACTGAAAAAAATTCATTTTAGTTCATAAGAAAACATTTATACATTTGACTTTAAAGAATACATACTATACTTAAACTGAGCAAGTAAGTTTGTTAAAAAATGAAAAGTTAATTCTTACAGAAGGAACAGCTAAGAATAAGGTGAGCTGGAGCTGGCACTGTGGCACAGAACATTAAGGTGCTAACTGCAATGCTGGCATCTCAAATAAGTGCCAGTTCAAATCCTGGCTCCCTGCTAACACACCTTGGAAAGCACCAGCTGGCCTGAGTACTGCCAAGTTCTTGCCACCCATGGGAGAGACATGAATAGAGAACAGTCTCTTGAGTTAAGCTTGATCCAGCGCTGGCCACAGTGGCCATCTGAGGAGTGAGCTATTATTCCCTCTCTCAAATAAATAAATCAATATTAAAAAAAAACAACAAAAACCGAATTGACCTGAAGCTTGCAACAAGTACTAAGTGAGAAAATTAAGTATTGCTTGCTTAAAAGATTAAGTAGTGGGCCCGGTGCAAAGGTTAAGGTCCTCGCCTTGCACGCCTGGGATCCCATACGGGCGCCGGTTCTATCCTGGCAGCCCCGCTTTCCATCCAGCTCCCTGCTTGTGGCCCGGGAAAGCAGTGGAGGACAGCCCAAAGCCTTGGAATCCCGCACCCACGTGGGAGACCCAGAAGAGCTCCTGGTTCCTGGCTTCGGACTGGCTCAGCTCCAGCCATTGTGGCCGCTTAGGGAGTGAATCATCGGATGGAAGATCTTCCTCTCTGTCTCTCCTCCTCTATATATCTGCCTTTCCAATAAAAATAAATAAATCTTTAAAATAAATAAATAAATAAAAGATTAAGCTAAGTGTTTAAAGTGTGCACATTTATGTGTGAATGCAACTATTAGTAGAGGTATTTGAATAGTCAGAGACCAACTCCTTTGAAAATTAATTTAAGATTATCTCTAGAGAGGCTGAGTAATAATATTTCCTCAATATAAATACAGACCTGTTGCTTCATTAAATACTAAAAAATTATAATTTTACTTTTATATCGACAAAGTGGAAGATGATTTGGGTTTCTTCTAGCAGATATTGTAAGTGAAATTAATTACTATGCAAAGAAAAAGATTCATATTTGTGTGAAAAGAAATGTTATAACTGGCTTCGCTGGTCAAGATGATTTGTTAACTCTCAGGTAAATAGAAATACAATAATTTTACATGAAAGTACCCTGTGGTTTTTAACCTTTGATGTACGGTTAAGAAGTTTATACAAACTAGATATAAATACTTACAAAGGTTCATTTATATCAAATTTTATTGGAGAAGGTGGCCTCTTTGGTGACTGCCAAAACAAACCTAAGGAAATATAAATATCATTTCCAATGTATGCAGGCAGTAATAAATTATATTTGAATTTCTTCTCAACACTTGGTTATACTTACTGCCATCTTTTAATCTTGTGTCTAGAGGAAAACAGTGAAGAAGCTGAAGAGCCTAAAGAAAAAAATATCAAAGAAATCTACGCTTAATATGGATTACATGGGGAAAACATTTTTCAGAATACAAAGTTTTTATGTATCATTAATATCTGTACATGCTTCATAAATCAAATACTGAATACAGTGCAGTATCCTAGTCCTCCCTTATTCTACCTATACATTCTTTTGTCACTGACCACAGTACCTGAAAAAATTTCTACCAATTTTATATATATTTACATATAGAAATATATTTTATATTTACAGCAAACACAGTGCATCGCGTATTCCTTTGTATGGTCTCCTATTTTAGATACGATCTTGTTCTTTCTGAAAAAGAGCTAATTCTGAAAAGAAACAATAAAATCAATAAAAATAATACTCAAAAATTTAAAAAGATGCAATGTTTATGATTTTCTTCAAAATCAACTGGAAACAACTGCAAAAGGGTTGGGATATAGATGACCCAGTTTACCCAAGCTGATTCCAAGTCAAAGTTATATGTATATGATGTTTACACTATTTCCTCTGTGTTTCTATGGCTGAATTTTTTCCATAATAATAATTTAAAAAACAAAAAAGGCTCTACAAAAGCCCACAGCAGAGATATAAAGTACCTTTTAAACTCTGAAACAGAGAGGTCACTGATAATTATGTTAAGAACAATGTGAATAAAATTATATTTACAGGGTAAGGAAGGAAGGTTAGACCATTTTTCCAAATGCAGAGCCATGAAAGAAGTTGGAAAGATTAGGATAAGCCTAATAATTAGTTTTTTTTCCAAGTGAACTTGCTTTATATGCTGATATATAAGAACCTAAAGAGAAGGAGAGATACATTCTAGCAACTGCTGTAATGGAGGGAACATTAACAGCCAGTATTTATGATTGTTTTTGTGCTATCCTTAACTGATTGTCACCATTCCCCAATGCATGAGACAGAATTTCATTATTTCTCAGTTCACATAAGAAGGAATATACATACAATGATCATCAGATATGAGTGGGTGTAGTAAAATTTCTACGAAATTTCTATTTTCTCTCACTTGCCTCTATTCTGAACAAATCTATTGAACACTATAAAAAATATATTCTTTATTCACAACAGAAAAAAAGCATCTAAGGTCTATGTATGTAAGGTATGTAGAATAGGATCTGCTGAATGTATGACCACATTTATATATATTATCCCTAATCAGTATCATCCAAAAGATTTAAGTTTTGTGTTTATTACTTCTTGCTCAACTTATTAATTATTTATGAAAAGCTTGCCAAAAGACAGACATTTCAGGACAGTAAAATCAAAGTGGGCCACTGTCAATGTTTTCAAAAAGTCTCATACTTACCTTATGGTTAAAATACTTTTCAAATTTTAATCTTGCTAATTCTACACACTGGGACCAATTTCTTGGTCTTCTGCTAAGTAACTTAATGACTTGAAAACAGCCTTCTAAACTGTGTCCATTTTGTATTTTCTAGAATGGGAAAGAAAAAACCGATACAATTCCAATAAATACATACACAAAATCTGAAGTGTTATGACTTTATTCTGCTTTTAGACCTTAAGCTCCTAGTATCCACCTTTCTTCTCTTTGAACTTATTTTTTGGAAGGCAGGCATGGAAAGGAAGCAGATAGCATTTGAACTCTTAAACTATGAGAGATTTACCTCCCATTTACAAAATTTTCACTAGAACTTCACTGTAATGAACTAAGCTGCCACTTGCCACATTTGGCACTGGTTCCAGTCCTATATGAGACACTTCTAATCAAGCTCCCTGCTAATGCGCCTTGGAAAGCAGTGGAATAATAGCATCATTGGGCCACTTCATTCATGTGTGAAACTAGGAAGAAAGCCCTTGGCTCCTGGTTTTGGTCTAGTTAGCTCTGGCTGTTACGGCCATCTGGAGAATGAATCAGAAGATGGAGGATGTCTTTTCCTCCCTCTCTCCCTCTCCATCCCCATACTACCCAGCGTACATCTGCCTTTTAGATAATAATACTTTATGTGACCCTCTTCCAAGATTCCTGATCATTTTTTGGTACAATAATAATGTTCTAATCACTCTTCATAGAGGTAAAAGTAACTTATTTGTAAGCAACTTGAACATCAGATTATAGTGACATGAAGTGTGAGTTTTACATTAAAAAAAAAAATCAACTTTGGGGTGTGCAGCATTGTGGCCCAGTAGGATAAAGCACCGGCTGACAAGCCAGCATGTCATATGAACACGGCTAGCAGCTGTTCCACCTCCAATACAGCTTCCTGCAAATATGCCTGGGAAAGTAATGGAAGATGGCCCAAACACTTTGGCCCTTGTTAAAGAAGACCAGGACGATGTTCCACGCTTCTAGCAATGATCTAGCTCAGCCCTAGTTGCTGCCAGTGAGAACTGAAATAGACAGTAGATGAAAAATGTCTCTATCTCTCTGTAAATTTGCCTTTCTATAAATAAGAATAAATCTTAAAAAAAAATAAGCACTCTTATCATTACTCCATCTCTTCCTGTTGCCCTCTAATGCTACCTTTTTAAAAAACGGGATCAATTTTTACCTGTAAGACTTCTTCTGCAGATGAATAGGCTTGCCAAAATTTGTTAAACAATGATGGCTTATGGGAAAAGGAACTCTCAAACTATAACAAAGAATAGAAGCAAAGTTAAAAAGACTAGTCCATCTAATAGTGGCAAATTATCTTCTTTCCTACTTTAAAGAAAATAAATTCTGAAGAGAAACGCTTACCTTATCTCTTGCCCACTGTATAGTATGTTCAATAGCAGCCGGAAAGGATTTCAGAGTACAAAACGGTATTTCCTCCTCTGGGGGATCCCGCTAATGTAAGATATAATAATAGTTACGAAAAATGGAATCAACAAAAATTTGTCATTAGTTAATTTTGAGTTTTATAAATGTTAAAAGATCCACAAATACACAAAATGCAACGATACATTTTTGTCTGCTCAGGCAGGACAAAAAAAAAAGCTAGTCAATTTTTTTTCACAATTTATTTGTTAACAGCAATGCAATGACAAATACGAATTCCTTTACCATTTATTTTCCAAGCACTCATTTGGCATACCATGACTCAAGACAAATAACCATATATAATTTATGTTTCAAAAAGTCAAGATGATAGTTAAAACTTACCCTACTGTCTACTGTAAAAATTACTCAAAGGTTCATAACCTAGTGCTCAGCAGACTGAGTTTCTTTTGTGACCAATGTGAGCTTAAAATACAGTTTCTTGCAGAAAGTCAGTATTAAATAGGCGGAAAATGTCTAGACTGTATCATCCAAAGAAACTTTGACCTTCACATAGGATGTTCACAGGTGAACTGTTTATCTCATCTAAAATGGCTCACTTTGTTTTTACTAAAGAGTTGTATTATAATTTGTCAACTGATGAAATACTGCTAAATATTTTAGAAGACACAAAAGAATGCCAGAAGAGTTTCAAGTTCTGATTTTTATTACTTTGAAGACATGCTAGAAAGCTTACACAATTTTCCATATTCAACATTTTTCAATTTAAATTTGTCAGTTTAGTCTGTTAAAATGTTTCTAATGTCACATGCATACATCTGATTTCATGAGACTACAATGTAAAACAATGAAATATCGCTTCCATTTTCAAACCTGAATTACTGTTCTTTAATTATTAAGGCTACAAATATTCCTTAAGAGCTGTAGTTTCAATTTTTACCAGTCCTCCAAAAATCAATTCTGAGAGTTTAAAGTCTTATCTACATAATCCACGTGAAATATATTCATACAGATGATGGCTTAGCCCCAGCCACGGCAATGTGCATTACGACTTCAGGGGGTCACCAAGCCTGGATTTTATCAATATTTCTAATGAAGCATACTATGGGTGTGAATTCCTAATGAAAATAAACAATGTAAGAGTAGGTACTGAATGACTAGATCTACCTTATTTGTTCTTTATATATCTGCTAATCTAACATCATAAAATTTCACAAGACCAGTAAATGAATAAAATTTTATCCTTTGTTGTAGTTCTACTCTCAATCTAAAAGCTTAACGGTCTTTATCAAAAAATCATAAACTCATGCTAGAATGTTAATCAAGCAGCTCTGGGACATACATAGCAAAAACAGAAACTAATATTCCCAGAAGACCAAATATGAAATTACGAAGATTAAAAACAAAGTAAGGTCAATGTTATTTTAAAAAATGTACAAGCACATGTGTATGATCATCATTAGTTGAACAAAGAAAAGGACTGGGAAAGCTAATTCAAAATTTTTAAGTGGTGAATACATAAAAGCTATCACACGAAGAAGACAATAGACATTTACTTCAAAATATCATTTCACTTACGTGACTATTGTAGGACTCAGTCAAATGAGGTACAATAACTTCTGTGTGTCCCTTTGTGCCCATTGTTCCGGAATCTAAGAGAGGCCGTAGGTTTGCTAAGCAACGGCTATTTGAAAACATAAGTAAAAAAACTTAAAAGTGAATAATAACAATGTAAGCAAAGACACCTACTACTTCCAACTGACCATTTCACATAAACATACCTCCCTGAATGTAATATTTCAAGAAGCAGATACATTACCACAAAATAGCCCATTGGTCGTTCCCATCCCACTCGCGTCCACACCGATCGTTTCTGTCCCTCCCTTTGATCACCATTACCTAAATCTCTGGATCCAATTTTGATGTCCTGGTTACTTCAGTATCACCCTTTTTCCTCTTACTGTGTTGTTTTTTTTTTTTTTTTTGGTTTTGAACTGCAAATCTGACCTCACAATATCTTTTCAATGTTTTCTTTAGCTCAAACAGCAGTAATAATTCTCAATGCCTAAAATTCTTATCTTTTAGGGCCCAGCGCGGTGGTGCAGTGGTTAAGGTCCTCGCCTTGCACAACCGAGATCCCATATGGGCGCCGGTTCTATCCCCGGCAGCCCTGCTTCCCATCCAGCTCCCTGCCTGTGGCCTGGGAAAGCAGTCGAGGACGGCCCAAAGCTTTGGGACCCTGCACCCGCGTGGGAGACCCGGAAGAGGCTCCTGGCTTCGGATCGGCATAGCACCGGCCGTTGTGCTCACTTGGGGAGTGAGTCATCCGACGGAAGATCTTCCTCTCTGTCTCTCCTCTCTGTATATCCACCTTTCCAATAAAAATAAAATAAATCTTTAAAAAAAAATTCTTATCTTTTATATAAATTGCTTAGTTTCTTTTTTTTTCTCAAGAACATCAACTTCACTGCATCTCTAATAGTAAACCCTATCAAGGAGTCTTATAAAGATGTAAGAAAATAATACTCAGTCACAATCATTCACTTAACTCTTATTTTAGAAGTATTTACTGAATAACATCATGACTTAAGCACTGAGGACACAGTGAAGATAAACAGGATAAATGACTTAGTGAGACAGCAAACATTAAATAAATATACATATTGAAAAGTGCCACAAAGGAAAAGTACAAAGTGCTTTGAAAGCATTCCATAAGACCTAATCTAGATTTTAGGGGTAAAGAAAATCTGCTTAAACAGGATCATTTCAGTTGATACTGAATGGATGAGGGAAAAACCTTAGTATGTGTATGGTTCTAAGATTAAAGAAAACAACCTGAATGTCTTTTAAGAACTTAAAAAGACACATGAGGTGTAATTAGCCGTTTACTGCCAATGCTCTCTTGAGGCAACAGCTACAGCAGAGGAGCCTGAAAGGACCAGAAAAGTTGTAAGCCCGAGAGGTACACAGCTGGCAGGTGCTGCATGAAAAACACTGAACCTATCATGATGGGCAATCACCAAAGGCTTCTGGGTATATGGAGTATTACAATAGCAACAAAGAATAATCAGATAATCTATAGACTTTTCAAAAAGTAGGTGTGGGAAACAGCAGTAAAAATTAAGGATCACTTTTTATAAACCTGAATTTTTAAAGAACATACCTGTCTACGTATCTCCTGGCTTCCACATTATCTAACGCTGTAATAATTATATCTTGGTTAGTATAGAATTCGTCATTGTAAATGGTTTCAGTGGCCGGACATACTTTGTTCAGGTGTGCATCTATTTTTAATTGAGGATTTATTTTCAGAGTAGCATTAGCAGCAGTATAACTTTTAGGTTTCTAAATAAATAACAATAGAAGGAATAATATTAAACAAAATTTAATGATTGAATTTACATTCTTACTTTAGAACAGTCATGCATGTAGTGCATGTGCGCGCACACACATAGAATGTGTGAAGAAAAGTACTAAGTCAAATTTTCATTTTTGGTTCATGTAACATTATTGTAGTCATATTTCATAACTTTCATTAATCCAAGTAATGCATATTTTAGTAAAAGTATGAATAATTTGTACTTTGCAGCCAAATATTTTTGAGTTCTTATAACAGAAGTTAAAAGCCAGCTATAAGTACGTTTTTGCCCCCTGCTAAAAATGTTTAAGAACCTGGAACGAACTAAGAACACATTTAGTAAAATACTAGAAATTCAGACTGCAGAAACTAATTCTTAGAGGTATGGGAGTTTAGTCTTTGCCACTGACACTTTCAAAATTATTATTACAGGATAAATATTTATAGAAAATGATCACAAATAGTTTAGTTTCATAAAAAGTAGCTAAAGGGCCAGCTCCACATCATATTGGGTGAGGCTGATGACTGATATTGGCATCCCGTATTGGTGCTGGCCTGAGTCCTGGCTGCTCCTCTTCCTATTAGCTCTTTGCAAATGTGGCTGGAAAAGGAGCAGAACACGATCCAAGTGCCTGGGCTCTTGCACCCAAGTGGGAGATTCAGAAACTCTCCAGAGTGCTGGATTTGGTTTGGTTCAGGCCCTGCCCTGTAGTCACTTAAAGAATAAACCAGCAGCGGGAAAATTTCTCTTTACTCATCTTTCCATGCAACTAAGACATTCAAATAAATAAAACAATTTAAAAATAAAAGTAGCCTAAAAAAATGCATTCTTGTCTGAAAGGATCATTGATGATTATTAAATCACCGCTGTTCCTTCTTCCTAGATCTCTACTGTTACTTCAGGTGTTATCAAAGTTCATTTGTGAGTAAATAAATATGACACTAAGCATCCTTAGACTGTTTTTCCTGAATTCATGCATCTCTGGCTTCATGACATTTCTGCCTCTTCTCACACGATGAGGCTGATATGTTTTACTCATCAATGTTTTTTAGTTTTATGGTTGTTATCTTAGTTTTATTTACTTAAAAGACAAAAAGAAAAAGAAAAAGGTACACTTCCTAAATGTTCGTGACAGCAGGAACTGCACACTCATGTCTCTCACAGGGTGAAAGATCCAGCTGCTGGTGGTATACATTAGAAGCAGGTTGGATCAGAAACAGAGGTGGGACTGGACCCCAGACACTCGGACAGTTGAGATGGGCATCCTAAGCAGTGCTGCATCTTGGCTGAACCATCATGCCCACTCCTTGCCAGTGTTTTAGCGCACCAACACATCAGAAACTTAGCTAGAAAACACATGCTTTATGTAGCTCTTCCTGAAAAAAATATACACAATTGCAGACAAAATTTTGCACATTGTTTTAAAGACCCTGTTACTCGGTTCTTTATATTTTGACAGGTAGGACAAACAGATTAACTATGCTGTCTGACTGGCTGTCTGGTCTATATTCCCAAGTGTAATTTATTCATGAGTGATTGAACAATTAATGGGAAAAAAAATCCAATTTTAAAGTGAAAGTAAATTTTCTTGGCTAAAACTACCTATATTTCTGACTAATTATAAGTCTTTTGGTACCTATTAAAACAACCAGAAAGAAGTCTTCTCTATTTTAAAAAGCATGTTAAATGGTTAAACAAGTTCAAAAAGATAAATTTTGTGTTAATTTTCTAACAAAGATTTTCTCCAAGGTATAAAATCTATGATCTGCCAAAACGTCAAATTAGAAAACCCACTTCTATATACTTACCTTCTGAAATTAAATATGTAAAAAACTTCTGGTTGTCACAAAATGGGAAACAATTCTGCATGTTCACCAAACACCCAACTTTACATTAAAAGGTAACTTCATATTTTTCAGTTTTTGTTATTTGGTTATCTAAGAGATTTCCATATAATAAAGAACATGATATTCATATTCAACCATTATTTTCCATCTATAAAAGAAAAATTTTCTTTTCAAAATAACACATAATTTAACACTGAAACAAAAGAGCAATATACCTGTATGTGATGAGGACGAAAGAGGAATTGTCTATTTAAGTTGGACTTTTCTATCAAGTCAGGGTCTGTAACTGTGATCTAAGTGTAAGAAGAGAAAATGTCTGAGATTACAAAGCAAATTTCAACTTACTTTTCAGTATGATAAACAGAATCCTCCCTCCAAAGATCCCAAATTATTTTAGATGGTAAAGACTGTAGGATCAATACTCCAAAGTGACTACCAACTCTGCGCTTTTCCACTTAGATTTCATTGTAATTAATCCTCAGTGGAGGAGTATATCAAACAAGCTGAATTCTCATTACAATTCTATTTAAGCTCTTATTTTCCCATTTATAACAAAATAGAGAATGAAAATATTACTATTATACCTTTGAGAATTGTGAAATGGTGTCTGTAGTAGAGCAGGCCCTTATTTCAAAATTCACTGTGTTTATCTTAACTAACTTGGCAAAATGCTTATATGGCATTTCAGCTAAAAAAAATGTTTACAAAGTTCACAGTGGGCCACCTGTGTTTTCAGGAAAAGCTCTACTGGAAAGCTATGACCATCTGTCTGAATACTGACTATCCTATTTTTATGCTTTAAAGTTAAGCTAGTTACTACTTAAGAGAGTTAAGGTCTGTAAACTAAAACTTTCAAGGTTTAAGATAAAATTTGCAGATTGCCATTCTAAAGAATTCAAGAAGGAAGTACACAGACTTCAGATATTCTGAGGATATTCAAAGTACCCTATAAACTTGGCTTAGAGTTTTAAATACGATTTGCCTAATTGCAGCATTTTTCACACTGTGTTCTAGTTATTAATTGCTTTCTACCACACATAAACACACTCACTTCCATCAATTTGTATTCCCCGGTGTTTTCAACATATTTTTAGAACACTTACTTTAACAGTGAAAAAACAAACAGAATATGCTTCTTACCCCCCCCCCCCAAATCCATTAACTGGTGTTGATTAGCAATATAGGGTTTCTTTTCACTTTATCTTTTTTTTGAACTTCAAAGTACTCTGTATATTGGAACCTACACATGTATCATTCAGAAAAGTTATCTGCTGTCCCTTTCAGTTTCCCATGGGGCCAGTGCGTGGAAGCATGGCGGTGAGTCTTGTTCATGGATTCAGGATGCAGATTTGCATTTAGAGGGAAGTGCTAGTGTCACTGGGGGCACGCCTTTCAAAAGAGTTCTCTTGAGAGGTCTGGTTTTATAGGCTTCAGTTGGCCCAAGTCATTCTATCTCTGCTTCCTGTCTTGTCATGTGATTCTTTCTTAGTGCACATTCCATTATCACTTGCCCTCATCAGACATCAGACTAATGGGGCCATCTGATCTTGGGCTGTGAAGTTTTGAAACTATAGGCAGAAATAAAATTTTTCTTCCTAAGAAGCTCTTCTTAGTTATTTCATAGTTGTACTACTGGAAGGTTGACTATTACATCTATATCCTGGATACTTACATCAATTTTTTATATGTCAAACTCATGCCTATGATATCTGAATTTTATTAAACATAGAGAAAATTTTATTTGGCTTTTTTAAAAATTCAGCGTCCTTCCCCTATTTCTACTCTTCTTTAATTATATTCCTATAGGTTTTTTGTATGCATGATCAAGACTTTACATTTGTTTTAGTCAGAGGTCTGGAGATTTCAATGATCCTAAATTTGCTTTATTTTTTTCTCTGCTCAAGACTTTTATATGATACAGTTTTAAACTCCATGTCAGGCATCAGCATGGCACATGCTCTGAATTTAATTTTACAGGTGTGACTTTCCTTTAAGATAGGAATATTTGTCAGTGATTATGACTTTCAGATCAGGATATTTTCTCTCTTGAGTCTGAGACCTTAGTGATTTGCTTTTCTAACTTGTCCACATATATAAACATTGACAATTTTTAAAATTTTGGGTTTTTGGGTTTCTTCCCTGTAGTGCTTTCCTTACTTTTATCTGCTGATATGAACTGCAGATTTCCCAAGACTCAATTCAGATGAATCCTAAGTTTATGCAACCAAGGATTTTTACACTAGGAATGCTTTTTTAAAAAACACCACCAGCAACAAAAACTTTCAATGTAAAAAGAACATATTTCATGCAAAGAATACCTTTTAAAAGCATTAGAACTAACTGTGGCTTATGGAACACAATTTAGGAAATGCTAAGCAAGTATAGTATCAATGTATGACATCTGTCTGTTAACTACAATAATAATGAACACTCTCTCTGACACGGCACAATAAGCTAAGTTTAATTATAAAATGTGAACTACTATACATACTTTAATTGGCTCTCAGCATGTCAAATCTAAGTAATTATCAACGGATGCTAGTTTACATTTAAAAATCAAAACAGTAACAATAAAATATATTTCTATTTAAAATACGAATGTGGTTTTGCAATTACCATATTCATAATCTTAAGAATCCAACTACATACTACAGTTTATATTATTCCACCAGTTTTGATACTTACCAACTGAAGTCAAGTCTGAGTTTCTCTATAGTTCTCTAGGTTAATTTTATCTTAATTACTAAATAGCTTTAAGTACAAAGAATTTATTTAGATTTAGTAATCACCAAATAGTAATAATCTACTAGAATGTGCTTCATAATTTGCCAAATCTTTTCACATTTTATCTTTATAATAATGCAATAAGGTAAATAGTACAGAGTTGACTTGCACGGTATTAGAGAAAGGAACTGAGGAACAAATAATTTAAGCAATATGCCACAAGGATATAAAACCTGCAAAGTGGTCAGAGGAGAATTAGAACCTTAGTTTTTATTTTATGCTCTAGTACCCGATCAAATATAGTTCAAAAAAGGCAAGATAGAACATTAACTTGTTTCTTGCAAAGATTTATATCTTACCATTCCTTTCTCTCTGCTTGTGCCAACACCAAGTAAAGCAAAATTTTTTAACATTTCACAGCCTATGGCTCCACATCCCACCTATGGAAAAGAAAAACAATATATCAGACTAAACAAAAATAAAACATCTACTTATCTGAGAGTAATTTCACCTTAATTTTCCTTAACTGTTAAGTTATAATAAATATATTTTTAGGGGTGGCAGGGAGGTGCAGCATGCTATCTGTCCTGTGGTGCCAGCACCCCAAATAGACTCTAGTTTGTGTCCTGGATACGTCACCATGATCCAGCTTTCTGCTTATGACTTGGGAAAACAGTGGAAATGACCCAAGTTTTTGGGATCCTCCGCTCCTGGTTTCAGATCAGCTAAGCTCTGGCTGTTGTGGCCAATTGTGGAGTGAAACAGTGGGTGGAAGATTTCTTCTTACATCTCTCCTTCTCTTGGTAAAATCTGCCTTTTATGTAAAATTAAATAAATCTTTAAAAATATTTACTTAAAAAAAACTTGAACATTTTAAGTTTATTTTACTTCAATAGGGTTATTACTCTCTAAGTGTCTCAAAGAAAAATGTACAAATCAATCAAGAAAAACAGTATTTAAAACTGCTCTGGGGCCCGGCGTGGTGGCGCAAGTGGTTAAAGGTCCTCGCCTTGCACGCCCGGGATCCCATATGGGCGCCGGTTCTAATCCCGGCAGCCCCGCTTCCCTTCCAGCTCCCTGCCTGTGGCCTGGGAAAGCAGTCGAGGACAGCCCAAAGCTTTGGGAACCTGCACCCGCGTGGGAGACCCGGAAGAGGCTCCTGGCTTCGGATCGGCATAGTATCGGCCCGTTGCGCTCACTTGGGGAGTGAATCATCGGACGGAAGATCTTCCTCTCTGTCTCTCCTCTCTGTATATCCGCCTTTCCAATGAAAAAATAATAAAAATAAATCTTTAAAAAAAAAAAAAACTGCTCTGGACAAAGGTACATTTAAAAATATGAAGTAAAAGGCAAACAATGAGTTTATTTCAGAGAGAAATGTATAGCAAAAACATTTAGTACATCAGTGAAAAATATTGCTTTAGATTTCTCAATTCATTTAATGGCCAGAACTAATCCATGACTTTTCTTTCAGCCTTACGTAAAAACAAGCAATAAAAATCATCAGCTTCTAGGGGTTTGTAAAAATTCAGCAAAAACTTGACTTTCAAATAATTATTTAAAAAATGATTAGTAAAAAAACCCTCAGCACCAATATATTAATAGACAGAAATATAAGAGTCAGGAAAAGGATTTTTATGCTACTGAAGACAACCTCTTTCACAATGTTTTCAGATATTCAAGAATACATCGTTACATCTCTCTCTAAATATATACGCACACATGTACATATTTTCATAGATTTACTTATTTATTTGAAAGAGAGGAGCCAGAGAGAGTGATCTTCCATCCACTACTTCACTCTATACATGGCTGAAGCTTCCAGGGCTGAAACAGGCTGAAGACAGGAGCTTCACCTGGTCTCACATGTGCTGGCAGGAGCTCAAATGAGCCATCTTCCACTGCTTTTCCCAGGTCATTAGCAGGGAGCTAGATCAGAAGTGGAGCAGGTGGGATATGAACTGGCACCCATATGGGATATAGGCACATCATAATGCAAATCCCCAAATTTCCAACTTTTTAAGTATTGCTGGAAAAGCAGTTAGTATTCAAAATTATTATACTCATATTTTAATTTTAACTGCACTGATTCTTTAGAAAAGGAGTGGGAAGATTTTTTCTTTAAAGGGCCAGGCAGTAAAGTTTCCAGTTTTACATACCATCTGGTCTGATCTGATATAGCTAGTCAGACTTTCCTCACTTAGGTTTACATTTTCTTTCATAAAATGACAATACACATGGCAGTTTGAATACACTACTTATTCCCATCTTTACTGATACTTACTAAGAAGATATTCAAACTTTGTAGCTTCTGGCATAAAGTGTCACCAATGCACGCTCTTAAGGCATCATACCTATCACCTCTGAAGAAAACAATACACATCAAGATAAGAGAAAGGCATAAAAGACATTAATCTACTACTGTCAATATCGATTGCCCCACAACCTAGCAGAGAGGCCAACACAACCAAAAGACCAGGATAAAGCAATCAGTTTTCCTTTTCAGCATTTGTCATACTACAAATCTAAAAGACTAAGTGAAGGTGATTTTATGCTACAGAAGTCTTCTCTACAGAAGTGTCTCCTAGCGTGATGCATTCTAAGACTCCCTGTAGATGCCTGAATCCACATATACTATTGAACTCCATAATTTAAAGCCTTTCTCATTTAAGCTAAGAATTATTACATGCTGTTACCCTTAATTTGAGATGTGACAACAAAGCTTTTAGTAATTTTTCCAACTTTACAACCTCCTGCCTAACAGATTTGTCCTTGGCATGTACTATCACTATCACAATCTCAATGAAAGTTTTTCTTTCTAGCAGTTGAGAACCTGTATCTTTTCACTTGCAGGAGGCACTTTATGGTTTCTCTTTGGCATATCTGAATGGCCAACTTCATTTCTTGCACTTGGGGGTTATTAATAAGTAAAATAACCATTACTTTCTCATAAGTATTGCAATACTACAGCAGCTGAACTGACCAATGAAAAGGCTATTAAAAATCTAGTGAGCTCTGGTGGATATGCTGTACAAAAGTATGAGTTACTTTCTGGCAGAAAGAACCAGGACGCCAAGAATTTCCAAATGTGCAATTTGGAACACAGCAAAGAATATATTTCTGAAATTTTCCATTTAAAAATTTCAGACCACCGCTGACCACACTAACTGCAACTGGAAAAGTGAAATCACGTAATGGAGTGTTACTCTATTTAAAAAAAAATTGCCTACACGTGGAATTTTTCAGATATGAATCAAATTTTGCAGTTTAAAAAAATTTTTTTAAACTTTAAATTAGTATAGAGACAGAAGAGAATGAAATAAGCGGGGGAGGGAGGAAGCAGTGAAGCAGGGAGGCAGAAAGTGAGAGACAAGACAGAGATATCTTCCATCTACTGGTTAATTTCTGCAAGACGTCCATTAACAGCTGGGGCTGGGCCAGACTGAAGCCTGGAGCCTGGAACTCAAGGCAGGTTGGCCTCTCCTGTGGATGGCAGAGACTCAACCCCTGGGGCCATCACCTGCTGCTTCTCACAGTGTGCATATTAGCAGGAAGCTGGGGAACAGCAGAGCTGGGATGCATCCAGTCACCTCAACACTTCAATATGGGATGTAAGCATTTCAAGAAATGTCTTAGTTGCTAAGCCAAACACCTGCTTGTAAAGCAAGTTTGTGAGGAAAATATGATTGGACTTTGAGGGTAGTTCACTTAAAACGAAAAGTAGAACTTTGGATTACCTGTATTTTAGGAAGACGAATCTCACAATTTTTGATTTTCTGAGATTTATGATCCAAAAAAGGCTACTGGCTAATACAATTAAAGACTGTACATAACATTTTTTATTTCACATCATTATGACATTCTGAATGCTAATCATTCTCACAACATATAATTTACACTTTACTATTTATAAAGTGGTAAAAGATTCCTAACAAGTACAGAATTAAACGAGCAAGAAGAAAGCATCTGAATGAAATTCATGATTAGACAAAACTATCTTGATCTATTTTCTTCATGTAAACAAACAAGAAGAGCAATAGAAATTTCCATATTACCGTGGGAGAAATTCTTCACATTCAGGTCGGCCTAGGGATTCGACAACATCTGCTGCCTCGAGATATAACTTAAAGGAGATCAAAAATATAATGTACTGTTACGCAATTTATTGAGAAAAAAGTTCTTCCATAGTTAACAATCAATAGAATAAAATTTGCTAAAAATGTCAAATCAGGATAATGTGTTAAAGAATGCTAATATTAATAAGTTCAAGGAAAATATAACAAAGTTTATTTTGGTGTAAAATATTTTGAAAGTCATAAGTTGACAAAATGGTTATTATGAAAAAACTACGCAGATTCTCTCCTTGAAAGAATGCTAAACTCTGAAAAGACAAGGTATCATTCATGTTATGAAGACATCTTAAAAGGAACTTCCTAATTATACTACTGCTACATAAAAAACTTCACAGCTACATTAAAAACTCTATACCTGCCACTCAATTCCAGCTATAAAAAATATCTTGTTTGATTTTAAAGAATATCCAGACTATGAGAACCTACAGCGTTATTTATTTTCCAGCTTGAATATATTGTATGTCATCTACTACGATACACACTGTAAAGAAAGCCCACAATTTCAACACATTTAAAATATCAACAGAATTAACTTAAATTAATGGGAAAAAAAAGGACTAAGTTTTACTTTCATTTTCATCTAAACAATTTGTGTGCTAAATTTGAGCATGGAAAAATGGTTACTTATTTAACTTAACAGCAAAGAGTCTTTATTCTATTTCCAATGATGTTAACAGTCCTATTCGAACCAAACTTTTACTAATCAACTTATACTTTGTTAAACTAAATCAAATAGCAAAGCATATACAACTATATGGGTACTTAAAATATAAAACATGAATTTTATATTCAAAATATTTAATATATTTCAAAAAAGAAAGTGCTGTCCTTTGGTGCTTTCTGGTAACAAATATGGTTTTATTCCAGAGTCAGGTTTTTGACATTATTTTTTTTCCCTCAAACCTATACCATACCTATGTTCTCCACCTTCAGATGTTTATATGCAGGAAGAGACCCAAATGACTCATGATGATGTAAGATTTCATGTAACAAGCCCTGAGACCTGAAGAATGCTAAGTTAGCAATTAATTATGAATGATCATGATAATCCATTCTCTTAACTCTCAAAAATGAGAGAAATAACTCAAAAAGGCACTTTTAGGTTATATTCCAACAATTTCAACATACGATCTTATTTGTTTCAATTACAGTATTGAATTCTGGAAGCAAACAACTCATATCTTTCTAATGCATAAGATATTTTGAGATGGTTTTCCTAATACAATAACAACAATAAATAGTACAATATAATACCTACAGACATTTTGCTGTTGGTTAATACAGATAAATAGTAAAACAGAACTAACCCACTGGCACAACGGAGAAAACTTCCCTGTCACAGCTTTTAAAACTTCTTGGCTGGCAACACCTCCCACAGCTGCAGCAAGCGGGGACAAGAAACCTCGAGCCGTCCAAGAGAGCCAATGGACAATGTCAGTATCTATGTCCGGCTGAAACACAAGCCATGAAAGACAGGAATATTAACAGCATTCCTACAGTACCTGTACACAGTACACAGAGTTACCAGGCATTAATTAAAAAAAAATCTACTCAATGTCCCTGTTGTAAGTGGTCTTTAAGTCCTAAAAATGTCCCAATTTCACACTGAAAGATCCACTGCACGCTGCTTTAATTAGTGCTTCCTTAACCACTACTTGATCACTTTGCTTCCTGAATCTGTATCATCTTTCTGCATCACTGAGCTATACATGAATATCCACTATTACATAGACTAGTGTTGTGATGCCAGTGCTTCCTATTTACAAATAAACAGATACTTTTAAAAAGTGCATTAAGGAAAACTGTGGAAAAACTTTTAATTTAAATAAATGAAAATAAAATTACGCTAATGTTTTAAAAATATTAGAGAACTATGCTGGGGTTCCACTGGTGAGTGCAGGGCTACGTGCTGGTCTGGACACGGCTGCAGTCTTCCTTGGCACAACTGTGGACTGGGACTGGATGCATCAGGCCAGGCTAGACACCAGCAGCATCTGGTGCCCTGGAGGACCAAGGTAGATGTAGGATGGACTAGGCTAGGTTTCTGCCCCTACTGAGTCACATGTGAGCCATGTCTGCGTATGGACGAGCCTTGGCTAAACTGAAACATCCAACAGTAAGAACCAGAATGGGCTCAAGGCCAGTCAGGAAAGGCCACTGTCCTGCTAGGATAGGAGGTGGACTAAGTAAGGGCTGGCTAATGGACCCACCAGTATACGTGAGATCTGGCAATGGGAGAAGTCCTAACAGAGGAGGCTGGGCAACTCCTCCGGCAGGACACAGTCCCTGCAAATGAGTGCAAAAACCACAATAGGGAGCAGCTCAGGCCAGGCCAGGGAAAGGTATCCACTAGCATACATTTGGTACAGGTCAGAGGTAGACCAGGCTGAACCAGTTTACATCACCCACTGGCAAATCCAAGCACCAGAACACAGCACAGCGTGGGTCGGGCCAGGTATGGTGTAACACATACCAGAGTACATTAAGGCTGGGATTGGATGCCTGCTGTAATGGGCTAGGCTATAACCCTCACCAGTGTCAGCTGGAATTGGGGGTGGGCCAGGCCAGGCCAGGCCAGAATATTCACTAGCAAATGTCAAGGTAAGATGGGACATACTAGACTAGGTCACAGAACCCAATCAGCACATGTGAGAACCAGGGAGGGAGGGGGCAAAGCTGGCAGGGCAAATGTGGAGGGTTCCCCTGCTGGATAGCCACTCCCACTGGAGAGCGTGAGCTGGGATGGGGCCAGACCAGACTAGTCAGGGCTACAACACCTGTGGGCCTCATGTGGACCAGATCAGGGAACAGCCAGTGGGAGAGGGTTGGTTGGCCTTTCCCGCAGAATCAGCTGGCAGAGGCTGGCACTGAGGACTAAGTCTGTGAAGTTTAACTCCAGAACCACCTGGAGAGTGCATAATCCAGGAGTAGGAGTGGCCTACAAGAGAAATAGTGGGCAGCTCCGACTTGGGTTATCACTGGAGAGCATAAAAACCAGGACTGGGGCTGGGGTGGCTAGACAGAAAGGCACCCGCCAGTATGTGTGTGGGCTGGATAATATGGCAGATTGGGTTGCACTAGGCTTCAATCTCCACTGCCATTACAAGAGCTAAATGGGATGTGGGACAGACTGAACAAGTCTGCGGCCCATACCGGCAAGCATGGGAACCAGGGTAGGGGACAGGCCTGGTGGGGGCTATGGGTAGTCACCCCAACTAGGCTGCAGCTCCCACTGGTTTGCATGAGGACCGAGTATGAAGTGGGCAGGATTGGGCTGGACTGCAACACCCATCGGTTCGCGTGGAAGACAGGGTTGGAAACAGAACTGACCCAGCAATTGCAATCACCAGCATATGCGTAAGCTGAAAGGGGCGATGGACTATGCTGGACCCTGTACTGGCAAGCACACATAAGAATCAGGTTTGGGATCATCTCAGATGATGTTTCTCTGGGGATTCCTCCAGCAGAACTGCTGATCTCAGAACCGCAGCCATGAAGAGACTATGTCAGCCAGTAGATTCTGAAGAGATTTCATCACGCTTGGAGCAGTGAAATTGGCAGCAATTCTGAACTGCTGAACTATCAAAACTACATGAGCAGGACCCTCAGAGCATGCCTCATGTCAGGGACCTGGGATAAGTGGGAGGCTGGCTGGGGCTTTTCTCTATCTCTTCCCTTACCCCAGATACAGAAAAATAAATAACATTAATGTGGAAACAATGGTCTTACCCACTTTACTGTAGCCCTTGACCCTTTGTGCCCTAACCAACTATAAAGATTACCAAAACAAATCAATTTTAAAAAATTAAAGAACTGGATTTTAAAGCTATTCTTTCAGTGGTTTCCTATTTGTGACCAGGATCTTTTTATTCTTTCAATAACAGGACTATAATTTCAGTCTTAACTTCAGTAGAGCTCATTTAGTTTCTTGAAAACTGATGCAAAATAACAGTATTTAGCAGGAGACAAGTGTTTTTATGTACTCTGCCAGGAGGTAATTTTATATAATATTTTGTACATTTGCTATTATAAAAATACTTGTTTATTCTCAGCTATTTGGAAGGCAGAATGACAGTGAGAGCAAGACAGCTTGCATATACTGGGTCATTCCCCAGTTAAGACTGTCCAGGATGGAGCCAGGGATCTGCAACTCTCCCATAGGAGTGGCAGAGGCCCAAGCACTTCAGTATCTCCTGTAGGACACAGGCCGCAGAGCAGGAAGCTGGACTGCAAGCAGAGCAACTGGGACTCAAACTGATAAGGGACGGCTAAGTAGTGGCCTAACCAGTTGTGCAACAATGTCTGCTCCTACATTTATATTTTGACTGTGATCTGTCACATGAACACAGGTATAATATTTTAAATTTTTGGCATCATGTTGGTGACTCAAGAAAGTTTCAGATTTAGGACTGCTTTAATTCTAGATTTTCAGAATAGGGGTGTTTCCTACACTTGCTAGTAGACACCCCAATTGCCAACAGTTATCTCTGGACTTCACAATTCTATGAGCCTGTTTACAGAGCAGGCCACAGAAGGAGAGCACCTGAAAACAGAATGAATGGTCTAATGGTGACACAGAACACACAAAATCATCTTCAGAGAAAGTCCCACACTAAGTGGAAAAAAGCCCCACCGAAAATAGCTATGATAATCACCATATCTCAGTACCTACGACAGAAACAAACAAAACCCAAAACAAAAGAAAACACTCTAGGTTTGGCCAAAAAAAAAAAAAAAAAGTTCAATACAATATTCACATATAATTAAAACAGGAAAGGCTAACAGGCAGGAAGTTACTATGGACTTAAACAAAATCAACAAGATTCACAAGATACACCAATGCCTTTTCAGAAACAAAAAAACTGTTCATTCAAAAAATTCTTTTACAGAATTAAGAGAAATAAGTGCTATGGGAGTAGAACACTAAAAAGCACTCACGATCTTACGGTGTCCAAAAACAAAAATACAAGAACATGTCACTGTAGTATAAAGTGTATAAAAGAAAAAAGAAACTTACATTCAAAATATTTTAGCTACTAAAATCCAACTCTCTTGACCTAATCACAAGACAAAGGAGTCAGTCACCCACATATTCTTAACTTCCGGGGGAAACAGGAGAGAATTAACTGAAATCAAGAGCAGTCATGAGGTGTAGGGTTTAAGACATTGTTTGCTGTGCCTGTATCTCGTCCTAGAGTGTTGAGGGTTCCACTGTAGGTCCCAGCACTCTCTGACAAGCACCCTGGGAGGCAGAAGGTGATGGCTCAAGTACTTGGGGTCTCTGTCACTGATATGAGGAATTAGGATTAAGTTTTAGGATTTTTGGCTTCAGTATGGCTCAGCCCTGGCTACTGTGGGCATCTGGGGAGTGAATCCACGCATGATAGATCTCTCTGCCTCTAAAACAGAAAACAAAATGCATTTTAAAATAATTTGTAATTGCCTTATTAAAGTAAAAAAGTGTGAAAATAGAATGAAAAGTTTTTATTTAAAAACAATAAAACACCTTGTGTGAATTTATAATATGGAAACAAATGATTCATTTTATCCCCCAAAACGGGGAAAAAAGTATCTATGAAAACCCCCAGTTTAATAAGGAAAATATTAAGCTTTCCAATAGGTTAGAAATATTCCTTATTCATATAAAAAACTAAAACTTGACTTCATAATGCATAAAAATTTACTTATAAAACCCATACAAAATTAGTATAAATACACTTAAAAACTGGCAAAGTGAACATAAAAGAATTTGTGAAACACATATCTGAAAAAAAGGACTCATGGCCAGGATATATAAAAACATGTAAAGGACTTTTAAAAACGTAAGAAAATAAAACTAAAACCAAAGATTTGGAAAAACAGTTTACCAAAGAAGAGTTGTAACTGGTAAATAAGCAAATAAAGTGATGCTCATAGTCTATTAATGAAATAAGAATAAAATCAACAATGATATATTACTACATAAATATTAAATCAGAGAGACAACACACGGAGTACTGGAGAGATGCAAAACAACAGAAATTTTCTCACTTTTCTGGTAGAAATGCAAAATGGCGCAGCTACTTGGGAAAGACAACTTGGTATTGGTTTTTCACAAAATTAAATTTACATTTACCAAGAAAAGTGAAAATACACTTCCATGTCAAAATCTGCACGCAAGTGAGTACAGGGGCTTTATTAATTAGAAACAATCTATATGTCCATCGATTGGTACAGGGATCAATGATTCACCTCTACAATGTTATGCTACTTGGCAATAAAACTGAACAAAGAAGAAATTACATGGATGAAACTAAAATTCCTTAGTGAAAGAAATCAGACTCAAAAGGCTACATGTTGTATGATTAAATTTATGACATTGTGTAAAACAAAAAACTACAGTGGTTGCCAGTGTTAATATATGGGAAAGAGATGATGATGAAGAGGCATAAGGAAATTTTTTGGTGTTATGGAAATGTATGTACTACGGTGGTTGATACCTGAAAACAGAATTTACTGTGCATAAATTAATTGTGCACACAATTTTGTATATGGGAAATTCAAAAAGTTTAAGGAAAAGTGATAACAGAAAAATTTATTTTTGGTGCAAAATTTCTGAAACGCTTATATAGTGTTTTCATAGTATCCAATTTCCATGTACTTTCTGAAGCCCTTGTGTGATTAACCATATACATACTAAGGGAGAAATTCAGTTTCTGCTCTACTCTAAAACGTACAATAAATCTCCAATCATGGCTTTAATTAAATCAGACTACAACAAGCCTTTTCTAGTTATTCACATATTCTTATTCCTTTTAACCATTAAGTAGGAAATACAATTTATTTTCTTTACAAGTAGTGATCAACTGTTTCTGCTACACTTACTATGTCTTTGTTTTGATAAAGTCACATATGGAAATTAAAGCAATTAAAGTCTTCCTCTCATCTTTTACCAAACAAGAACAAAAGTGATAAAAGTTTGAACTTGCTGTGCAAACACTGATATGATGACAGCTGCTCAAAGAAATCATTGACTGGCAGACAATGGCAATAATATGAAAAAAATAGTTTCTAAGTGCATTTTAATTCAAATATGATATGTCAAATGCAATGAAAGAATGGGAATGCGTAATGTATAAAAGAGGTGATTACGTAGTCAATGACTTCTTACAGTGATTTGTGGTGGGTCAAAAAATTAAACGAAGAACAGAAAGAAATACTAACCATATAATTAAGCAACAGAAAATAGTAATTACTATAAGTCACAAAGTATTCCAAGTGCTTTACAAAGTAAATTACTCAGCAAATCATTTAATGTTAATAACAACACCATGGTAATCACATTTAGTTTGTAAAATAAACCAAAGAAAGAAACATAATTTGTCTAATTCAATCAACAGGAAAACCACATCTGAACAAAACAGAACATTAGTAATCAGAACATTTCTGTTATGAATTATTAATGTTTTATAGCAATAATTGAATACTTACCTTTTCTTCTAAGGTTTCACTTATGGATTCTGCTAATTTCAACAGCTCTTCTGAATCTTGCTGGCATCTACAATTCAAAACCAAGCACCTCAACTTCCAATTTTTTCAACGGTCATGAAAACGTCATATTCAAAATTAATATTTGAGAAATCAAAGAAAGAAAAATTTTGTCTACAAGTAGCATAGTGCTTCACTAATTCAAGGATAACCAACCAGCTTATCAATTTGCTATTTCAAAACCATGATTGTTTATAAGTAAGATTGTTTTAAATATGCAAGACTAAAATTTTTGTATTGCTGATGGAACAGACTCTCAGAAGGTAAAAGTAAATCTTATCCTGGGTTAATAATAATTCTTACATATTTCAAAATGAACAAATCCACATCTAGTATAATTTCATTTCAGCAAAATCAATCTATTAACTTCTACCATAGAGAAGCAGAGGAAGTTAATAAATGGTGTATACAGTGATCTTGTAAGTATATGGCAATGATTTACTTTTTGTAGAAAAAAATCTGATTTCTGAAATAACTCAAAAAGCTTATTATTATTATTATTACAATTGAACATTTACAGAGACAGATGCACACCATTCCCCCATCTATTGCTCACTCCTTAAACACTCTAGCACGGATGGGCTGGAGATGGCTGTCAGGAATTAAACTTCAGTATTGTAATGCAGGACTTGGGTGTCTTAATCGGTGCCCTGACCATGAGGCTAAATGCCCACATGGAAAACTGTGGAAGACAGAAATTAAGAGAACGGGACTCCTCGCTAGTGTGAAACCAAACCAGCTGTAGTCCTGTGAGAAAGCTCAGAGAATTCAGGGCAAAGTCCTGAAGCAGCTGATACGGGAATGCACAGGACAGGAACTCCGGAATTCTCACGTGTACACAGCAGATCAGAGGCGCTTCTTCTTACCTATGCTGGTAACCACTAGCAGCCTGCTAGAACATATTGCTCACTGACTGACCCGCTTGAATGCTTGCACATAAACTGCATCCTTTTTTAGACTCTCCTTCCTTGCCTATGTGACCCTCACTGTTTAAAAATCTTTTGCTGTTATTAATATCCAGTTATTAACCATCACTCAGTAAACCATGTGTATAATTATCGGCTCCAAGCACCAAATCACCCAACTGCTCGACAGTGAACAGCAAACAATTAACAGACAAATAAAAAACAAAAACTTACCCAGTATTTGGCTTGCGACCATAGTTCTCCTGAAACTGGTCCAAGGCAAGCATGGCTGCATGAATCTGTAAAGGTGCCTGTTATAAACATCAAAAATTAGCCACCATTTATGAGTGCTTAGAGTGTCAGGCACTATGTTAAAAGCTTTGCAAACACTGCTTCATTCAATCATCACAAATCTGTTCTGCATTTAGCAGATCACAAAATTGAAGTATAAAGAAATTTGTGACTTGGCATTAAGGCCATATTTAAGCAACAGCTCCAAGCTTCATCTCTAGGTGTTAATGATGAGTTTTTAATAGGTTATCCAAAAAATGGAACAATATTTGTACAAAATCATTTAACCTTTTTCCTTATTTAAATAATTTAGAAATTGTTCCTCTGTAAGAATACAAGGAAACTTCATAAAGTTTTGGGGAAAACAATACTAAAGGGTACATTTACTCTGATGCAAGAAAAAGTTTTGAAATCCATGTAAAGTTTTTTACAATTTGCATTTTCCATGGGGCTTCTAATAGCCTCTTACAGATTTACTGCTACAAAATTATGGCCAGTGGTTAAAAAAAAAAACAATATATGTGCAAGATTATTTCTTTCTGTAAAAAACATGTTATACAAAACTACATCATTCACAAAAAATTTTCATAGCTTTATATAAATTATTAAAATCACCTTGTATCAAAACTAGATAACTGTAAAATTCTCCCTTATTATTCCAGTATTTTTTCCATGATACAATTTATTTCTTGGGAGTACAGCTAACAACAAAGCATGTACATGGTCATTCCATATTAGCTTTCTAATCACTTATCAACTTCCTACCCCTCCTCAGCTGCCTTGCTCAAACCTGTGAAGTGTTCATTTACCTCGGGTTTGCTAAAGTCCACAAGGAGGCATTTTGGACGCTTTATCTGCCTCTCCAAGGGTTCCTAATAGAAACAAAAAATACAGCAGAGCAAGTAAGTGACAGCATTTGTATGTTAGTGCACTAAAATCAACGGACTCTGCCAAAGGTCACAAACTTACGCTTTCAAACATTAAAATAGCTACCATTTACCTTTAGTACATTAAAAAAATTAAGTGCAATAAACCTACTCCATATAGTAAATGAGAACTAGTAAAACAATTTATAATATGCTAATTTGTTTTTATGGAAAAAGCTAGTATATATTTCTGAGAGTAAGTTTATCAAGCTTTGTTGTACTTGACAAAACTTGAAAAGATATTCAAAACAAAAGAACTAACCAACATAAAATTATGAGGCATGAACTCACAAATTAAAAGGGCCAGAGGAGATACGAATGAACAGAGCTAACTACCTTTACTATTTTAATTTACTGTCTTAACTTTGGCCTGAACAAAGCCTTTTTGAAAAAATTAAAACCTTGAGAATTTGCCAAACAACAACAGCAACAACATAAACCTAGTGATGTGAATTCATCTGAGAAGTGGGCAAAGTCGGTATCGGATTTCATCTCTGACATCATCCCTGTAGTCTCTCTATGCAGCTATTCTTTCCTTACATGAACTGTTTTGTTTCTATATTCACTCTTCCTTTTATTTTTTAGTTTTTATTTGCAAGGCAGTTACAGAGAGAGGTGACAGAGACAGACATTCCATCCACTAGTTCACTCCCCAAGTGACCCCAATGGCTAACTGGGCTAATATACAGTCAGGATCCGGTAGCTTCTTCTGGGACTCCCACATGGGTGCCAGGGCTGAAAGACTTGGGCCATTCTCTGCTGCTTTCCCCCAAGACATAAGCGGGAGCTAGACTGGAATTTGAGCAGCCAAGACATGAACCATCATCCTTTATGGGATGCTGGTGCCGCAGGCAGAAGCTTAGCCTACTATGTCAGGGTGCTGGTCTTATCATGTTCTTTAACGTAAAACAATAAATTTTGAAGATCTAGATTAACAAGTATGATGAGAAAAGAAATTTCCCTTTTATTATAAAAATAAGTAATTGAATTGTAAAGCAAGACAACCCTTTCTAAATCTTTTAAATTTATACTAATTTCATGTCTTGTCTCAGTAAGCACATTGTAAGAGGGATCATCTCTGACGATTTAGGGAGTATATAGATCCTTTGGGCACACTCACCTACCTCACATAATGTGTACATGGTATACAGGCAACAACAACTTACAAACTGATAGTTTAGTCCCTTAGCAGTCCCTTATAGGCTGTAGCTCCTGTTGAAGAGCACAGGTCAGGGCTAGGGCCAGGCCAAAGGACTCCAAGTTTAAGAAACTTGATTTTTAAATAAACTGATTGCTTCAATCATTATTCTTTTCTGTTGTCATCATTCTTTTTATGTAAATAAATACTTTTAAGATGATTAAAAAATACTTACAAAGCAAAATATTTTAGGAGTCTTAACTTGAACAGCTATGCCTCCATGTAAATATGGTTCCAGCTCTGTAGTATCACAAATGCTAAAAGAAAATGGTGATACCACTAGAAGAAAACAAATGTTATTCACAAAGATATTGATATTTAAAATTGAAGGCTTACTGTTGCAAAAATTTTAACTTGCCATAATTTATAAAGCTAAGAAAATTCTAGCATTTTCTACTCAGAGAAAGTTGGGGAGTATAGACAGCAGTATTTTACCAACTTCAAGTGTAGGACTGAAAACATTCCACATTATTAACAGTTTCAAATGTCAAAAACTATGCCAAAACTTTAGATAAAAGCACAGGAGAGCCTAAGGTGTAGGTAACTGTCTAGGTTGCCTTGTACCCAAGAAGGTGTTATATCATTGGGAGAAAAGCAGCCAGTAGCTAGCATGCATTCTGGACCTGGTTACTGTCAAATTTCTGTTAACTATACCAGAATGCCAGCACTGTTGCTAGCTAACTGCTTGTTTGACAAGGAAGGAACTACTTCTGGGTGTTCCATGGACTGGGCTACTGCACTCACACATAGGTAAGGAAGCTGAGACAGTGGTTTAGAAGGAAGAAACCAGAAACCAGGAAACCAGAGGGCATGTCTGGGTCAGGCCAAGGCACCTGCCCATGTGGGAGACCTTGGCTGGGCTAAAAAAAAAAAGCATCACTTGCCACCCACAAAAGCTGAGGCTGGGCTATGTCAGGCTGGGTAGTAGCACCCACAAGAGAACTGCATATGAAAACAGAGTCTGTAGATTTGTGAGCTCACATCTGTGTGACTGCAGCGCCTGTTGGTACACAAGGAGCAGGAGCCAGTCATGGGCCAAGCCAGGCTGCAGCACCCACCAGTACACACTAGGGCCTGGACTGATGGAATACCATGCCAGGCAGGGCCACTGCCCTTGCTAGCACTTATGAGATCTGACTGGGAGTAGGCCTGGTAGGGAAACTTGGGGAATACTACTAGGCTATGGCCCCTGCTGGGGAGCACAAGAGCCAGCCCTATGGGTTAGGGGATATGGGTGGGACAAGCCAGGCAAGTCTGCAGCACTCATTAGTTTGTGTGGATTGGTTCTGGAGATGGCCAGGCTGGGCCAAGTCTCAGCACCTGCTGGCATGCACCCGAGCCAGGACAAGGTGTGAAGTGCACCTGGTTGGGCTAAGTTGCAGCACCTGCCAGCAGGAGTGGTGATGGCAGGTAGTTCATGCTAAGCTGGGTCTAAGTACCCGCCAGCATGTGGTAGGGCCTGGTAGGGGAACTCTGGGCACTCCCTTGCTGGGCTGCAGCTCCCCTGGTGAATCCTGGTATGAGGCTGGACATGGCTGCAGCACCTATCAGCATGTTGGGCTGGGTCTAGGAGCAGGTCAGAATGGACTAGGATCAAGCACCCACTAGCAATCACAAGCCAGAATGGGTGTGGGTCAGGGCGGGCTAGGCCACAGCACCTGTCAATTCTCATGGGAGCTGGGGCTAGGAGTGGTCAACTCTGGGCTAGGATGCAGTACCTAAGAGTAAATACCAGGACTGGGGGGCTGGCCATGTCAGTCTGGGTAGCAGCACACACTGGCATAGATGTGAGATCAACTACTGCTGGTAGCATAGTAGGGAAACTTGGGGAACTCCCCTTCTAGGCCACAGTTCCTCCTAGTGAGAGTAATAGCTGGGACTGGGAGCAGGCTAGGCCAAGCTGGGCTGCAGCACTTGTTGGCATACATGTGCACTGGGTTGGGGGAGGGCCAGGTAGGGTAAGTTCTTGGCGCACATACAATAAGCAGAGGTGTATGCCAGCCTGGGTTGGACCACAATACCCACGACTTCACACGAGAGTTGCGGTGGGACAGGCTGGGCTAAATTCCTGCACTTGCTGGAGAGAACTGGGATGGCAGTAGGATGGATACAGCCAGGTTGTAGCACCTGCTGGTGAATGCCAAGACTTGTGGTGGGCCATGTCAGACTAAGATGCAGCACCTGCTTTCACATGCAAGAGGCAGGGTGGGCAGCAAGACTGGGAGAGGAACTTCACGGACTACCATGCTGGGCTCCTGCTTCTACTGGGGAGTGCGACAGCTAGGACTGGGGGTCTGGCTGGTCTAGGGGTGGGCTGGCTGGGCTAGGTTGCTGCACCTGCTGACAATGCTGGGACTGGATGCAAGTCTGGCCAGGCTGGACCACAGTACCCCCTGCCAAGCTCAAGATAACGGGGCTGGGAACACACACTGTAAGCCTTTGGTCTTCCAGCATTCCTCTGCTCTGAACATAGTCTTATATTAGTGCACTGAATAGGAAAGTGTGAAATATCTCGCAAAAGAATCCACAACAATAGATCACATCTTGTTGTATTTAAGTTCGTGAACCACAAATGAGTTGTTTTTCCAATAGGGAGTTTAGTACAGTCCCTGAACTACCATACCAGTGTGTTGAATAATGAATAAATACAAAATTAATCAAATGACATACCAGTTATTTGTTGTAACGAGCCATTTAAACCTGTCATTCCATTAATTTCTCGAAATGTTAGGAACTGTCCTGTCTCAAGTTTGTGAGGACGATTTTCAAGGCAAGTGACAATGCCAGGATTAGCCTAGAGAGAAGAGTAATTTATGAAAAATATAAGTCTATGTATTGTTTATTTCTTTTTAAAAGGTATTTATTTATTTGAAAAAGTTAGAAATCTTCTTTCCATTGGTTTACTTCCCAGATGGCCACAACAGCTGGGACTGGGGCAGGCTGAAGCCAAGAGCCAGGTCCTTCATCCAGGTTTCCTACATGGATGGCAGGGAACCAAGCACCTGGGCTGTCTTCTGCTGCTTGTTCCAGGCTGACTGCTGGATTGGCAGTGAAGCAGCTGAGACCATAAACAGTGTCCGTAAGGGTTGCAGAGTTGCAAGCAGTGGTCTTAATTGCTACGCCACAATGCCAGCTCCTACGTATTACTTAAAAATACGTATTTTGGCCCAGTGGCATGGCCTAGCGGCTAAAGTCCTCTCCTTGAACGCTCTGGGATCCCATATGGGTGCCGGTTCTAATCCTGGCGGCCCCGCTTCCCATCCAGCTCCCTGCCTGTGGCCCGGGAAAGCAGTCGAGGACGGCCCAAGGCCTTGGGACCCTGCACCCTCGTGGGAGACCCGTAAGAGTTCCTGGTTCCCAGCTTCGGATCGGCATAGCACTGGCCATTGCAGCTCACTTGAGGAGTGAACCATCGAATGAAGAACTTCCTCTGTCTCTCCTCCTTTCTGTATATCTGACTTTGTAATAAAAAATAAATAATTAAAAAAAAATACATATTTTAAAAGATTTAGCTATTTATTTGAAAGGTAGTTAGCTAAGGACAGGAAGATCAACACATAGAGATTGTACACCCATTGGGATAGGGCCAGGCTGAAGCAGCTATCATGGGCTGCTTCCATGGGTACACATAAGCAGGAAGCTGGGACGGAAAGAAGCACTGAGACTTCAAAATTGAGATACCCCAACATGAAGTGACTCAACTGCTAAACCAAATGCTCATCTCACATTACTACGTATTTTAAATGTTGAAAATACAATGTCTATGTTTGATAGGACATGTTCAGAGACAGGCCATGCGGGAAGTGAATCTGTAATAGTGCCTTTCAAATAAATAAATATTGTATCATCATTTACTGAATCACTTTCATGTTAAGAACATGACAGAACAAAATGATTTTAAATCAAAAACGATAATATCAAAAAGTTATACAATGAATATGTTTATAGGGAATTTAGAATAATTAATATTCTAATTCCAAGTTAGTTATAACACATAATCAAGAGATTAACAAATATTTCATTATGAATTCTTAGAACACCACAAAAAAGGGAAAATACTATTAGAATATTCTGCTAATATACCAACTTCTAAAAAATTAGCATTAACCTTAAAAATTATTTTAAAAAGTTCAATATAATCATACTTGCGTTATGTTTGAAATGAAAATTTCTTTTGGTTCTTCTCCTGTTGTATCTGAAACTTCAAATTCATCACCAAAATCACAAAACAATCGTGACCAAATTCCATGTATATCTGCACTGATGAACTGTGAAATGAGAAAAACAAGGATATATTTATGCGTAGAAAAAATAATCCTTAGCTCTCTTAGTCCCTTGTATGACAATCTCATTTACAGTTAACAGACTTTTCTAACCTTCTCACAGAACCCACATGGTTCTTCTCCCAACAACACACAGACACTGCTATCAATACTGAGATGTTTTTCTTCACAGGACTTAAGACTACCTGAAAATCTAACATGTATCTACTAGCTTATTTAATGTGCATCTTTCCTACCAGAGGACAGTTATCATGAGTAGTAAGAATTTGCCCTACTTACTCATGTAGTACCTAAAGACCTAATCTGGCACACAGTAATGCTCAGTGGATATTTATTAAATCAAACCTCCTAAGAACCACAATTTGTTGAAAGTGATGATAATTCAAGGTTTATCATTCTTGCATTCCTATTCTTTCTTCCGTTTCAACAATCTACAAACAAAACTTACACAGTAGTTTTAAAGCTGGCAACTAAATGTAACCACAAATTAAAGATAAAAACCTTACCAAAATTATCTTCATGTTCCTCATACAATTTTTTCTCTTAATTTTTAAAGATTTTATTTATTATTTGAAAAGCAGTGTTACAGAAAGTGAAAGAGACAGAGATTTTCTACCTGCTGATTCACACCACAAAAAATGTAGCAGCCAGTGCTGGGCCAGGCTGACGCCAAGAGCATGGAACTCTATTTGGTCTCTCATACAGGCCTACGTACTTAGACCACCTATCTGCTCTTCTAGGCATATTAGTAGTGAGCAAAATTGGAAGCAGAGCAGCTGAGACTTAAAAACAGTGAAGACTTTCTTTAAAAAAAAAAAAAGGCAGGTATTGCCATTGTGGCATAATGGGTGAAATTATGGCCTGAAATGCCAGCATCCCATACAGGTGCTGGTTTGAATCCCAGCTGTTTAATTTCCAATCCAGCTCCCCGTTAATGTGGATCAGAAAGCAGCAGAAGATAACCCAAACCCTCGGGCCCCTGCATTGATATGGATGGGAGTTCCTGACTTTGGCCTGGCTCTGCCCCAGTCACTGTGGCCATTTGGGGAATGAAACAGCAGATAGAAGATCTCTGTTTCTGGCTTCCCTCTCTCTAACTCTGCCCTTCAAACAAATAAAACAATATTTTAAATAAAACAAATTTTTTTTTTACATTTTATTATTATTGCTATAATTTTATGATACAGTTCCATATTCCCTTATCCCCTCCCCAATCCCTCAACAAATTTATTTCTTAGAAATTATTTGAAAGGAAGAGATTGAGTGAGTGAATGACAGAGCAAGAAAGGGAGACAGAGAAAAGGATCTTCCATCTGCTAAATCATTCCATAAACGGCCAGTGAGGAGCTATTATAGCTTCATTTGGGTCACACAGCCCAAATGAGTGGTACAGTCAAGTAACCAGGCCATTTTTTGTGGCCTTCTCAAGTAAATCGGCAGGTAGCTGAATCAGAAGTGGAATAGCAGGTACTTGAATAGGTCACAACACAAGCTCCCATAAAGAGCTTATTAAATAATTCACTAAAGAGCTTCAAATTCTAACAGTGAAAGTGTTTGTGTTTGGTTAATTGCAAGTTCTTATAAAACAATAGAATTATTACCTTAATTGGAGGGCAGTGAGAATGGCAAAAATCATTGATCTTCTTCTGTAATGGGAGTTTCACCTCAGTCAGTACTACACACTGTTGAGAACACAGAAAGTAAAAACTAGAAAATAATTATTTTTAACATATAACTTCTATGTCATTATTGTCACTTTGCATTATATTAGATACATTTTTGTTCCAGTTAAAAAAAAATCACTACCCTACTGTATCCATACTAAAGTATTTTCAGAACCATAGAATAGCAAAAGTAAAAATAACACATATAAAGGAAAACTGGCTCACACATTACATTCAATTGCTATCACAGGTTTCAAAATTAAGACAAATGGTAAGATTCTATGCAGCATTTATGCCCCTCTAATGATTAATTTGTTTTATATGTCACTGTCATGGAAATGCTAGTCTAACCATCACACTATTATTTTCATGCTAGCTAAAAAAGGTTATGAAAACTTAAAAAAGATATTTGAGGGGAAAGGAGAAAAGAGACAGCTAGCACACACACACACACCACAAACCCCTCCAATTGCCAGTTCATTGCCCAAATGCCTACAACGGTTGGGCTGGGACCAGTTGAAGCTTCAATTTTTAAGGGCATTATTTTCATTTCTAAAAAGTTTGTGTGGTCCCTTATCCCAATGCTTCAGATAAGCAGAATGCACTTTCTGGCTCTGATTTTAGAATTGACAATGTGATTTGTCAATAAGGTGTTAGCGAAAGTAACAGATATTGAGCCTTGAAATGCAATAGGAGGCTGGATTTTTCTTTTGTGTTTCTGCTATTGCATTCATAGTGTAGCTTCCTATTGCACAAGACAGATATTGGAGAAATCAGATTTTGAGGTTCAGCAGTTGAGCTTAGACGAGAACAGCTGATGCATGAGGGATAAATATGTTATTATAAATCACTGAATTTGGAGCAGCTTCTTATGCATATCATCACCACATCAGTCACATGGTATAACTGCTTTGCTAGTAATTCTTGGGCCTCTCCCCTAAAATGGTGCATTTAAAGGGTATTTTTCAAAAACAAACCTTCTACTTTGAAATTTTTTGTTCTGCTCCTCAATACAATAGGTTAAATTAGTTGCAGTCTATTAATACTTAACAATTTGCCTTGCAATTTGTCAACAACGTTTAATACAAATGGAGTACCAACCTGGTATTTATCTAAAAATGAAAGATCTGTGGTTTCACTGAACGGAACAGAAGATGACGTGACATGCACATATGGATTTAGTTCTGCAATGTGTGGAAGTACAGCTTCTGCCCTGTGAAAAGTCAACAATTAACTTTTACGAGTACTTCATTAAACAGACCTAATCTTTTAAAGTTGGACACTGTCACATGGAGAAACTTGACATGCTGGAAAACATCAATGAAAAATTTAGTAAATGTGGAAGAAATCAACACTTACTTATCTTTTCAGGTAACTATACAACCTGAAGATGTACCATCATATCCTTTAGTAAGCCAAACAATCTAAAAGTTAAGCTTCAAGCTTCTTTAGTGTCTAATTCAGCAACGCTACAGATCTCCTAATCAAAAGTTAATTTCTAAGTAGCAGTGGTTTGTATAAAAAAGCCTGACAAATACAATAATAATTAAGCATTTATCAATACTTATTTATCTATGGAGTATGAACTTCTGGTGATGAGTTAAAAAAAATTATGACCAAAGTATTTTGTATAAACAAAAAACTGTCATGATGGTATATCAAAATACGTACCTGTTTCTCATATTAACAACATCATCTTCGCAGAGAAAGAAGTTGGTTCCTAGATCCCATGCCTTGCATTTCTCTGTATCATGAATTGTAAGTGCCTGCAAAAAAAGGGAAAATGTTGAAGTTAGGAATAAGACAAGTGTATTCACTTCTCTAACACGAATCACACTTTTTTTAGATGTATTATGCAGTATACCTAGCTTGAAACAAAACAAAATCAGAGGCAAAAAAAGCATATATAACTAGATCCAAATATAACTAGATGATCTTACTAAATATGAGTTCTGGACACCTAAAAACATTTATACAAAAACTATTTTAAATCAGCACATAAAATCCCCACTCATGCACTGTGTTCCAAAAAAGAAAGAAAACTAACAAATTAGGAATGAGGTATTTTTTCTCACTCATCCTACTGGCATAAACTCAAGAAGAGTGATGCCATACTCAAAAGGTGATGGTCACTTTCACACATTACTGTTGGGAATGTGATGTGTGGTCCTTCTCAATGAAATGTGGCAATTTCCAGAATTTCCATTTAACATTTAGCCTTTGACTAAGCAATTCCACTTTTAGGAAAACATTACAAAGACATATTGAGTGGAAAAAAAGAAATATGTCCAAGGATATTAGATGCAACACTACTTGTGACTGAGCACAATTAAGGTGTCTACCAATGGGGACTACCCGATATAAAATACTGTATGTCCACAGAATGTATTTCTACCAAACTATAAAAAATATTCACCAAAGATATTTACCCACCTTAATCCCTGCAAGAACAAGATTCTTTGCTATAAAAGAAACAAGAAAACCTTAATATTAGAACAATACGTCTTCACATAAACTGGTTACATGTCTGACAGGGTAACTTCAATGTTTACAACTTAAATGCAATCTCCTCACAAAAAAGACAGAGAATACAGATTAATACAATACAAAGAGAGAAAAATGCAAATTTGTATAATCCTATCATCTCGAGGTGATTACCCTTACGATTTTAATATGTTCCTTAAGACACATCTTTTAAAGATATGCGTGGTTGCTGTCATAATGAATTAACAGAGAGAATGGGCATCAGTGGTTATTGACAGCACCAAAAGAGAAACAATGACAGTCATAATTAGTTCCAGCAGAAGAATATAACAGTAGCATGAGACAGCCTTGCCAAAGGAACAAAAACTGAATCTGATCTAATTTTCTTTTATAGGAAATACAAGAATTAAATTACTTGAATTGTGTTGCTCAAATCTGTCCAACAAAACCACAAACAAAAATACTGCTTACCAATTTCCAAACCGAGACCACCCATTCCACTTAAGAAAACATGAGACTTTGCCATCTTCTGCATTGCTGTGTCTCCGAGAACATACCTCTGTCGACTATAGGTAAAATGAAGACAAAATGAATTATTTTGTCAAAATTATTAATCCTCTAAAGTTGTTTGCAACCTGATAGTCTAGCACTAGATCCTGCCTACATATTAATTTTGGATGACTTTTCTGGTTTAAAAGTTCTTTAAATCAATTTCCAAATATGTGACACATTTTGAAAAACATACACGTTTGGCACCCACAATTTCCTTCACGCAATAGGAAATCAGTCTAGAAGTCTCTAGACAAGTGGCAGTAACACATGGCTTCCTTTTATAGTATTTCAGGCATCATGATAAGCATTTGAGTTTGTCATCTCCACATTTTCTTTATTTTTACTTGAAAGGCAGATTTGATAGCGAGAGAGAGCATAAGTGCCTTTGATCCACTGGTTCACTCCTCAAATGGCTACAATGGTCAGAACTGAGCTGATCTGAAGCCAGGAGCTTCTTCAGGTCCCCACACCAGCCAGTACTCAACCAGGGTCTGCCATGTGGGTGGTAGGGATGCAAGCACTTGTGTCTCCTTTCATCTGCCCCTTCTTAGGGTGCCCATTAACAGTAGGCTAGAATGCATAGTGGAGCTAGGACTTAATCCCAGGTTCTTTTATATGGGATGTAATCGTCTTAACCACTGCACTCACACCTCTTACACAAACAACTGCCAACTACTCAAAAAAATATTAATAGGAATGAGAATAATGCATACATTTAATTTTTCTAATTACTAAGAGGTATTTAAATTTTATGAATAGGTAGGAGTTAAAAATTCCACCAAATTCCATTCAAATCACAACCCTTCAATTACACATTTCATTACAAACTATAAGATGCTGGGCTGGTGGCATGGCATAGAAGGCTAAACTTCCATCTCTGGCATCAGCATTCCATCTGGGTGCTGGTTCATGTCCTGGCTGCCCCACTTCAGACGCAGCTCTCTGCTTATGGCCTGGGAAAGCAGCAAGAGCACAGCTGAAGCCTTTGAGCCACTGCACCCACGTGGGAGACCTGGAAGAGGCTCCTGGCTTTGGATCATCTTAGCTAAAGCCACTGCGGTCACCTGCGGAGTGAACCAGCAGCTGGAAGATTCTCTTTCTCTCTGTGTTCTGCCTTTCAAACAAAAATAAATCTTAAAAAATACAGATAAAATTTCCTAATGAGATTAAACTTAAGAAATCGAATTGACTAGACACTACTGGATGTTTTTCCTGAGGCTTCTGCAATGACAACAAAATCCTTAGTCCTACTACCTAACCCTGTTGCTGCTGAGATTTAACTTATTAAAGGTTGTAGACTACACAGCAGCAAAAATAAAAACCAGAAAATCCTTAAAATATTTACACATGGTGCTTTGAAATGGACTATTCAAGTTATTTGATAACAATGAATGGAGAAATAAGTTTCAGTTTCCATGAGGTTCTTACCTATATAACGCATCATCAATCTCCACGGGTTCGGCTGACATAACTGACGAATTTTTACTTGTACTGAAGGAAAAAAGCAAACTTGATTAAAAGCAGGTATGACAACATGCATTTTATAATGTAACATTTAATCACAAATAGGATTAACAAACTACTGAAGGTATTTATAAGCCAATACATGTAATTACATATTTACTTGATCTACCACTTGCTGTAGATTTTCCAAATGCATTAAAATTAGAATGCACTGATTGTCTGCGTGGTGCTGTGTACAGCCCGGGCCTGTTTCAGTCTCAGGCACCGCCTTATGCTCATGTGTACTGATGGAGCTAACTCAGCAGCTCTGTCCCATGGACCTTCTCCACATACATACTCCCTCCTGATAAACTCAGTCTCCTATTTACCACATCCTTTGATACAGAACTGATTGTTGTTCTGACTTTTAGATGTGGTATGCACTGTTGTTTCTTCTGACCTCCAGATGTTATATACCTACCAAAGCACTGACTCTATTCTGACATCTGCCACCACCAAATTAAAAAAGCCCAAAATAATCCAACTTCCCTTTCCAGTCTCATTTTTGATATCATCACTCAATTGGGGCTAAAATTACTATCTTCTTGCTTAACCCATTCCTTTACTTTCTCCCCCTGTGGGTCCTGTTAGCTCTAACTTCCACAGACATTCTGAATCTTATCGTTTATCATTAATCAGTGCAACACTATGGCAAACCACCATATTTCACCTGACTTACTTTAAAGACTTCGTTAACCATCTTCCTATTTCACTACTGTTCTGCCCCTTTGATTCTTCACAGAAGTCTGAATATTTTAAGATGCAGACAGACTTCATTCCCACTAACTTTCAGATTTACTTTACTCTTAAAATTCAAACATCTGACCATGCCCAATAGGGCATATTTTCTCTCTCCCCAATTTCAGCTCTACTTCTTGGTGTCTTGTCACACTGGCTGACTTGTTGTTCCTCAAAAAGCCAAGCTTGCTCTCATCCCAAAGTTTTCACATTATTCCTTGTGCTAGGTATGTCATTCTTCCATATCTCAGAATAGCTTTTTACTTGACTTACTTTTTAAAAGATTTGTTTTTACTGAAAAAGTAGGTTTACAGAAGAGACACAGAAAAATCTTCCATCCACTGGTTCACTCCCCAATTAGCCACAACTGAGCTGATCTGAAGGCAGAAGCCAGGAGCCTCTTCCACATGGCTACAGGGTCTCAAGGCTTTGGGCCATCCTTTGCTGCTCCGCCAGGCCTCTAGCAGGGAGCTGGATGGGAAGTGGAGCAGCCAGGACAGAAACAGCTACCCATATAGGATATCGACTTGCACTTGCAGGTGATTATAAGGCAAGTGAGCCATGGAGAAGTTGCACTTATCTTTTCAAACTATATTAAAATAGTATCTCATAAATAATACAGATCATTGCAGATCATGACTGGCTCCTCTAAGTCACAAACTCATTAACCTTTTACATATATTCAAATGACTTATCATTAACTGTCGTCTATGACCCACCACCTCAACAGAATGCACTGGCTGCTAAAAACTCTTTACTGTATACCAAATATCTAAAACTGTATGCAGCATTTAAAAATAATAGGTAATCCTATGCCACGCATTGTTTTAAATGGTTTAGATTTATAATTCAGTGATAACCTTATCACCTTGTAACATATGCAGTACTGTCAGCGGGAGGACAGAAGCAGGGTGAGTGGTTAACTTATAACTCACTAGAACCACAGAGTAGGTGGGTCCATGGCACAGTAATGAACCGACCCAGGCAGTGTGTTCCTGACTACCATCTTATGCTATCTAGTGTCTCATAGCAAGCAAACAAGAAGCACTCAGGAAGTATCTGTTAACTGATTTTTAGAAATTAACTTCCTACACATCAAGCTAAACATACTATTGTGACAAGGTATACGTGCTGGAGTCATGCATCATTTATAGCAGTGTGTTCCAAATTTTTCACAGGACAGCATACAAAGAAAAACTAGATTTGCAGATAACAGAGGGAGAGGGAATTAGCCTGGAGCATTTGGACCCAGGCTACCATGAGAGCGGAGTTCAGTATCTTGGCAAAAGCACAATGTGTTCCAAGTTGTGGGGCACTCCAGTCCTCTAACAGGGCTCTAAAAACAATGAGAGCATGAAATTCAGGTTTGGAATTCAACTGCATTAGCCTGGAACTGGTACAGAAGCACCATCACCAAGTTTCATCAACTTCTAGCCAATTAAATTGATAACTGTTACAGAAACACTAGGTTGCTGCTGAAAGCAAACTTAAAAGATAGCTGTGTACTAACAGATATGAATACAATGCATACACATACAGCCACACGCCCAGTTAGTCAAATGAGATTTGCAATTACAGAGCTCCTGCAGTCCCAGCCCAGTACGCGTTCACTTGCTGGCTTCCCAACATGGGGTGGTGGTGGAAAATAACGGTCTGGATAGAATTCTTATGCATAAATGAGAAGTGCCACATTACAACTTTCTATCACTAAATGATATGACTGGCATTTACTTATCATAAATGGACAACCCCAGAAAATCAAAAACACAAAACACCTACAAGACAATTAAAACTGCTTAAGGCTGAAGAAATGTTCATTGTAAAAGAGTTATTTATTTGAAGGGTACAGTTAGAGGGAGAGACAGAGCTAACTTTTATTAGCTGGTTCACTCCTCAGAGGGTCCCCAAATGCCACAGCTGGGCCAGCATCCCCCCCTCCCCCACAGGAAAAGTCTGGAATCTTCTTCAGGATCTTCACGTGGGGCCCAAGCACTTGGGCCACCTGCTGCTACTTTCCTCTTTAGGGGGGGAGGGAGCTGGATCAGAGTTGGGGCGGTGCTGACCTGCCCCCACTTGTTGTGCCCGCAGGGATCTGCTACCCTATGAGCCCCCTAAGTTTTTCTTAGTCCGTAACAGTCTCTCAAGAAAATCTGGCAGTGTTGCAGATAACATCTTGGTCCCCAGAGCATTCTTTCAGTCTGAAACTGGCTCAACAGCTACAGGTTTGGGCCAGTCTCCCGTCCACTGACAACAATGTAACTCATCACCTGCATCTCGGGCAGAGCGAGGCCTGCACGGGGCAGCAGAGGCCTCAGCCCTGGCCGGAGGGCCACCGACTCACTCCCGCCGTCCCCTCTGGCGACAGTTTTCAGAGGACGCCGCTGCAGGCGGGTGCACACCGGCACCCACAGTTCTCACTCCGCCCCGAGAGGCCACGGTCCGGGGCCTGGCACCAGGCAGGAAGCCCCGTTTCTAACACTGTCCTCGGTCGGGGGTCCCAGAAATTCGATGAACTGGGGGGGAAGGGGACTGCCGGACGCGACCGGAACTGAGAACGCCCAGGAGGCGGCGGGAAACGGACTTCGGCCGGCGAGGGCCGGGGCCGCCGAGGCCCGAGCCCACGCCGCCACACCCACCCGTCGCGTCCCTCCAGCCTCCCGGGCTGGCTCGGCGGGGCCCCGCGGCCTTCCACGCCCTCCCTGGGCCGTCCGAGGGCACAGGAGCAGAAAGCCCGCCCGACACGCCTGTCCTCTTCGCACTCACAACGTCCTCTCACCTGCCAGCCCCCCAGGACGAACAGGACGCCGCTTCCCCCCGAGGTACCGCCACCGGCTCCGACTCCATCGCCGCCTCAGACGCCGCGCCGCCACCGGCTTCGAGAAGACAGGAGGGGGCGGGGCTGCGAGAGGTGGTCAAGGGACGGGTGTGACGTCATCGCGGGGTGGGCCCGGAGAGGTGCGGAGGCCGCCCCGCCTTCCCGGCATCCTCTGGTGCACCGCGGCTTCCGGTTTGGGTGTGGTCTCCGGGAGGTTGGAGGTTCAGGTGGCTGAAGCGGTGGCGGCGGCTGCGACCTACGGAGAGACGGACGTCAGAGGAGCCCAAACACCAAAGTTACACTGCAGCCAGACCTGTGGGACTCTAGGAACCCGCGAGATTTTGAAACCGAGTTGCAGATGCTTAGGAATCTAGTTGCAGAAAGGGAAACCTGGGGCCCGGCGCGGTGGCGCAAGTGGTTAAGGTCCTCGCCTTGCACGCCCGGGATCCCATATGGGCGCCGGTTCTATTCCTGCAGCCCCACTTCCCTTCCAGCTCCCTGCCTGTGGCCCGGGAAAGCAGTCGAGGACGGCCCAAAGCTTTGGGAACCTGCACCCGCGTGGGAGACCCGGAAGAGGCTCCTGGCTTCGGATCGGCATAGTACCGGCCCGTTGCGCTCACTTGGGGAGTGAATCATCGGATGGAAGATCTTCCTCTCTGTCTCTCCTCTCTGTATAACCGCCTTTCCAATAAAAATAATAATAATAAATAAATCTTTAAAAAAGAAAGGGAAACCTGCTTTCTTTTATAAGGGCTAGCAATAGGGACAGCTCCAAAGTTCCTTTATGGGGTTTAAAGGCGTTACTCGTTTTAATAAATTTGGCTTAGAGCCACGTGTGAGACACTGTCACGGATTTGATAGGAGCCTGTGAGTTTTGGGGTTGAGAGAAAGGACCTTGGGGGCAGTACAACGTACTGGTCGAGCAGCCAATCACTGTTAGGTTACAAGAGCAAGTTGTTGAAGGGTCCCACTTCTTATTTTTAAAGATTTATTTATTTTTATTGGAAAGTGAGATATATATAGAGGAGGAGAGACAGAAAGATCTTATGTCCGATGATTCACTCCCCAAGTGACCACCATGGCTGGCGCTGTACTGATATGAAGCCAAGAGCCAAGAGCCTCTTCTGGGTCTTCCACACAGGTGCAGGGTCCCAAAGCTCTGGGCCGTCCTCGACTGCTTTCCCGGGCCACAGGCAGGGAGCTGGTTGGGAAGTGGGGCTGCTGGGTTTGGAACTGGTGCCCATATGGGATGCTAGTGTGTACAAGGGGAGGACTTTAGCTGCTAGGCCACCGCATCGAGCCCGGGTCCCACTTCTAATTTTGTTAATTATAGTTATAATTTCTTAATTATAAGAACAAGGAGGTGGACAGAATTACATTAGGATTTGTCTTTCATTTTAAATAACCATATGGTTATTTGAAGAAACGGATGCAGAACTTAAAAATCTGACGTTATGTTCTGACTTTAGGGATTATAATTGTAATGTTTGATAATCTCCATTACATTTTCTTCCCCTGCCCTGTGCCGCCAGAGTCCAGGAAGAACCGTTTTATCCTTTCTCTCTCCATTCTTCTTTTCTAAATGCTCCTCTGCAAATGCCAGGAAGCTCCACTTTGCTCCCCTGTGGAATAGGTTTATCAGTACAGTTGTGGAACTTTCTCCATAAAAATGCTTGGGTTATTATATTTTTTCTTTCAAGATTCTGCACTACCATGTGGTTGATCCTATGTTTATACTAGAGTTAATATGAATGAGCAGCTTTGGGTGGCTTTCCCACTAGACTGTGTCAGTTGAGTGTGAGATGACTGGGTGGTGATCAGGCCAAGCTAGACAATGCCTGCTTGATCCACTTCGGAATCCAGAAATAGAAAACAAATGAAGACTAATTTCAGAAAGCGGTTAGGTATGATGGAAAAAAATAAGAGGTAAGAAGACTTAAGAACCAGGAGGAGAAGGGTCTGGTGAATTTATGTTGTGAAGAAATATTTCTGCAAATGCGGTATTTGAGTTATAACCTAATGATGTGAGGAAACGTGAAGCTAGAAAATTGCCGGAGTCCAGCTCCAGCCGAGTTCGGAGCTCGAGAAGGGTGCATGGATTAGGCGTAGAGAAAATAAACAGATCACTACAATTCCAAGATCATCGTGGACGATGCAAGAGAGTTGTCCCCTTTATTAATACAGAAACCCTCACAAGCTCTGGCACAGACTTTTGATGTCATGGTCAAGTGGGTGTATCCCAGAATAATTCTGCCAGTTGTTTCACCTAATGACTCAATAGAAGTTCCTACTACAATTCTTATTCTACAACTCAAAGAAAAGGAGAACCTAAAGATCAAGGAAAGCGTGAAATGCTAAACACAGATCCCTTCATTAGCCTAAGGTCAATGTGGACAGCCAAGACAGCATGAATAATTAAAGGCCCTTTGGTAAGACCTTATTATTGACATTAACCTCCAAGCTCACACTAATAGTAAAAAGCCAGCTCCACAGCAGCAAACAATGCCTGAATGGGTTACAGAATTCTTCCACAGGGCAGTCCATGCAAAGGAAGGTGGAGCTGCATTCAGGTCCCTGTAGAGACATCTGCTGGGTCCTGCCATGCAGTGGGAAGTTCCTTGCAGCCCTGCCTGCCATGGAACAATACTCTCCACACCTTTGTGTCCCCCATATGCACTACATGGACCCCAGCAGAAGACAATGTTAGAAGGAAAGATAGCTGTAACCTTGTTTGTTTTGTTTTCTTTAGCGTTTGGCATCTTCTATGTATTAGTTGTCAACAGCTTGGTGGGATTGGAGAACTCTGGGACCCTCCACCTTGGACCACTCAGCTGGTGTCTTGATGCAGCTTCTGGAATTCCCAAGCAGCTGACCTGTGGAACTGTGAGCTAAAGAATGTGTTGTCTACCTAACCCCCTCTCCTGCCATTTTGAAATACCTAAGCAGGAATTTTATTTTTTCCTTTGCATCAGCACAAAACTAAGGATGCCTCTTAAATCCGGGGTTATTTTAGGTTTGGTGATAATCATGTATGAATGCTTTTCTTTGTTAAACGTGAAAGTCCATCAAGAACATAACTGTTTCTGACTCATTGCGAGGAGGGATTCCACATTCCCTGGAGTCATGGGATACCTTACTCTGCAAAGGAAAAGACAGATCTGTTACAGGAATTTGAGGGAAGTATGGTGCTTTGTTGATAGTCTTAAAAGAAAGTATGAATGGGCTCAGTATTTTTTTTTTTCTTGGAAACTCCAAAGTTAAAATAGATGTAAAATGCCCCCACATACCCCGTGTCTGTGCTTCTGCTTTGTGGCTGGAAATAGAGGCTGATTCTCTGTGTCAAAGTGACTTAGATCTTCTACCCAAGATTGAGATACTCAGTAGCATTTCAAACAGTAAGGCTTGGGAGCCACACATGGGTTTAGAGAAAGAATTCCCCTGAGTGGAAAGTGAGGTGTTACTCAGAGTCGGAGTGTTCAAGGTTTGGGACACAGTTAGAGCATTTTCTTAAACAAATGTTTGTTAAGTACACATGACTTTATCTGAGTGTGCTATCAATAGCTGATGAGTGACAAAGCACATGTTTGCTTTTTTGACCCGAGCGTATTTTTAGTTTCTCACAGATTGCAGTGAATTTTTTTGTAACTTCAGAGAGCTCCCTTCTCTGTCTTGTTCAAAATGTGGGTGAATGATTTTTCCTTTTCCACTTTCGTTAGGATCATTTCTCTTTTTTGAGTTACATCATCTCTGTGCTGTGCTGCCTGTGTTCTTATAGGCAGAAATGCAGTTACAGCTAAAGGCAAAGCTCCATAGCTTCATAGCTTTATTTTAAAAATTTGTTTTATGTTTACTGAAAATGCAAAGATAGTACAGAACATTTGAGAGTATTCCTCCAATAATACTATCTTATATAATTATGGCACATTTGTCAAAACTAGGAAATTAGCACTGCTATAGAATTGTTAATTAATTTATTTTATTTGGATGTCATCAGCTTTTCCTCTGTTCCAGGATCCATTTGTATGTGCAACAGAGGGCTTTACATGTTCCAGGGAGGGTAATCAATGCTGATTAACAGCACAGAAAGCTGTGTATCTTGAGCAGTTTGACACTTGCCACACCTGTGCTAGGATGTTTGCGTGTCACACTTTGCTTTTGCTGCTTCTCTGCATGCAAGCAGATATCTCCTTAGAGAATTTACCTCTGGCCATTCTTACCGACTTAGCCCAATGGTTACTCATCTTTTTTTCAAATCACTTGCAACTAATAGGCTACCTCCAAAAGTTTATGGGGAAATAGAATATGCAATGAATCATAGCAGAGACATGGCGATATACTTTCTTTCTCCATTGATCATGATTGTTAATCACTGTTTTTGTCATACTAATATTTTCAAGAAAAACTTTGTATGAGTAGAAAGTCTACAGGCGAAGAAAATGCAGCAAAGTGTTAAAATTATTATGATTTTAAAGCTTAGAATATTAAACTTATTAAACTTGTGTAAAACTTATTTAAAAATTCAATGTAGCATTTTCATACCATGTATTTTTCATGACCTTTTGAAGTCCCTTTGCACTTCAAGGTATATCATGTTTGCATTTGTAAATGCATTTTGTAGTTGAAACCCTCTGTAATAATGTGGCTAGATTATAGTTAGTAAGAGAGAGCCAGAGTGTTCAAGATAAGCTAGTAGAGACATGAGCGAAAAGACTTAGGAACTTGTAAGTAAAAGGTTAACTTTAATTCAAAATCAGGAATGACTTCTTTCTTTCCTTAAGCTTATTTCCTCTTTGTCACTAATTCTCCCTATACTGTTTGATATCTCTATATTATTCTTTTTGCTAAACTTTTACTCTTGTAGAGAAAAATATGTAAAAAGAATATAGACATACATGAATTTTTTTTAGACAAGGTCACATTTGAGAGGAAAATTTAATGCATCTTGGTAATCTAAGTTGAACACAACAGATGTCCTCTTCAATCCACATCTCATAGTCTTTCCCTATGACATGTATGCTTCAGAGTACTCCTTCTCCTTCCTCTTCTGATCTTGACACACAATCAACAAAGGAATG